GCGGCCACTGCCGTCGTTGTCGCTGTTACTGGTAAATGAACACCGCGGTTTGCCAACGTTTGAAACAAATTGCAATAAAAGGAAGAAAGAAATACAGCTATACCAGTACGCTAGCGTTGCGTCAGCGGATCGTCCAGTCCACGGCCGCGTCGAAGGGCATGGCGAATAGCATCAAGCAGAGGACAGAATAGTATCGATTGACGTACGACAACGATCGAACAGTATTTCCACTAGCAAAACTAAGAATATGGATTTTTATGAATCGTCTCGGCTGTTAACCAAGTGAATGTCGAAGCGGCATTAGTTACTACATGTACACTGCAAAACAATACATACTTCAACGCAAACTATGGATAGAACTGTACAGCATGGAGAGAGGAACAGACTGCTGATACGGCTGATGTGTGGGACGGATTTTGCCGTAGACGGATTTAATTGTATAAGCCATGCGAATAGCTATTATATACGTGTGTGTGTGTGTGCATGTCAGAAGCCAGTTAAAACGACAGCGGCGGCCCTGCCCGCACAAACGTCGGTTTTGCGATATTTACGATAGACATACAGACAAGGGGCACACTGCCAGGCACAAAGACGGATCGTAGTGTGCTAAGATGCGCGCAAGTCAAAAAGCCAGACAACCTCATGTTAGATCAACACATTATTGTTCCCGTGCGGCTAGAAAACTGTTGCAATACCGACGACGTCAATTACAGTAGAAAGTAGATATTTCTTTTCAGTGTTTTTCCGACGAGGTGCAGACGGTGTCAGGCACAGAGTATGAAACTGATCTGTTGGAGCAGGTAAATGGCTGCTGAAAGGGTTAACTTGCGCTTATGTTGAACACGAGGTGGAAGATGTACTAACATCCTGATAAATACGGCTTTAAACTTGCTTTGAATTAGCTATATAGCGGCCAAATTGTAGGTTTACTGAATGTCGACATGTAGGGATCGGCAACAACAGCATTTAACGTAATTATGCGTATGTGTAGATTATATAACTGTTAGCGTTATACAACATTGTACAGTGTTTACTTATGCATGATATTTACAGCTAGTTAATCTATGAAGTTGGCCTAATTTTTACCCGTAAAGTTTTCACATTCCGTACAAAGGAAGGAAGAGGAATGGACGCGTGTAATAATCGCTACATTGCGGGCAGAAAACCCGCACGGCAAACTAAGAGGTGCACAAGGGTTCCTTACGCAAGCAGAAGGCAAATTTGCAATTAAGTTAAGCACAGAAACCGTCACAGTAATACTAGGCTTTATACGTAGCACTCAAACGTCGTTCGTAGGCCAGACCGCACAGAGGAAACTTCATCAGGCAGCATCAGGTGAGTATTCATGGTAAACCACAATAAATAATAACAATAACAAGAAATCAGATCCTGCAAGCGCGGAGAAGGCAAAAACTGTCAGCGTTAGCTGGGTTATAATTGTTTTGTCTACGCTTGGGTCTTAAAATTCTAGTTACATTTCATGCAAATGAGTGACTAACGCTTTTTTACGTTTCAATATAAATACGGAGGCGATATTAAACTATAAAAACGATGGAAAGGAAAATTAAGGACATATACATACAGTAACACAATTGTATCTGCCTTTATAGAAGAAATCCCATTCTGATCAGTGATCTGGCTCAAATCTTAGTAGCTCAACGTACTACAATCGGCTTCGTATTCTTTTGTTGGAGATTTTTTTACCGTCAATCAAAGCTTCAAACTTCTCGTGGTTGTTATCTTAACAAATGATCGCTCGCTTAAGACCAACAAAGAACATTCTCTTTATTCTAACAGTAATAATCAAATCGTATCCTCGTTAACGTATGCGTTTATTAATACGTGCACGCCTGCAAATTTCTCTATGTCCCTGTGTCTTTGCCATGTTGACACCTAGTAAAATGTGTTCAACTCGGAGTCATAACTTTCAACGGCACCATCAATGAGCGTTCGCACACTCTGCACAAAGAAACATCGATGTCGTAGCCGTCAACGCCGGATACGACTACTGAAGTGATGTTCGTTTATCCCTTAGTTATATACCCCTCTTCCTGCTCCTACTCCGTTGTCTCACGTCGTCACCTTGGCAGAATTGGAGTATCGAAGCGGCTTTGAAAAACCGATTCGCTCGATACGGAATCGAGTGACAGGAGCAGGGAAAATGATTCGCAGAAAATCGCGGCTGTGGTTGAATCAATTAAGAAGGTAAATGCTGACGTGTGGGCGCTCAGCCATTCTCTATATCACCGCTTTGTCGCTGTTGCACAGATAATTAGTAACAAAACGAGTTCCATGGTCGAAAAGTGCGTAGATAATAAAACAGCACTTATAGACGACATCTTACAATGTAACAACGGTGAGGCCCGAGGTTGATATCGGTAGCTCGGTAGATCCAGGTTTGTCAGCAATATTGTTGACAAAACGAATCGACCATAACCAATTTTACCACTAAAAATTATAGATAAACATGTTATATGTTACCTGTTATGGGCACGAAGGATTGTCAGGTAGCCTACCTGGTAAACCTAACTTATCAGCGCTAACAGTTTTTATCTGTCGGACAGTAATCGGTGCATGTTTGTTGAATAAAGGCAGGCCCGACCAACTGAAGCATTATACAAGTGAATATATGGGAGCTAAAAAATCTAGCGCTCAAAGCGAAAATTACTCTTGAGCGTTCGCTTCGTGATCATCGCAGTATTATAATCGGCTAATTACGGCAGCTGTGGTTGTCCTATTTAGTTACCGTTATTATATGCCCTGGTAAACAAACAAGGATAACTGGGCTACTGTTTATGATACTTTTAAATGATCATCGAACTGAATCGGACTGACTTGAATGAGCTCGAAAAAATACATTTGTACTGCTCGACATTGTATTCTGCGTACAGTAACCGTAGTACATATTTGTGAAAGTACGTGACAACCAGGCCAGTTTAATTTAGCTCCGTCAGATTAGCAACATTCAACACCAGTTATCATTATGGTATCATGGTTAGCAGAAGAAATGCGGTTTAGTTGTAATAGACTAAGCAATGCTGCGAATGGATGAACCACGCGGCTATTGTGGCAGTACTGCGAATATGACCCACTGTGGTAGTATCAGTGGTAGAGTACTAGTGATCATGGAGCCGGCGCCTGCGGTAAAAAGGGCACCGTAAACAGCAACAAACGCGCCAAGCGAACCAGGGCTGCAATTCTCTGATCAACTGCTTCTTGAAGTGAAGATTATAAACACTACGACCCGCCAACTCAGCTCAGTTCGTTCCAATCGCCAAGTGGACGGCCGGCCGGAGTCGCAATGACCGCCACACGAAGACGAATGGGTTCATAGTTCGCACACTCGTTTCTTTGCATTCATTTTTCTCCGCTAACTCTATGCTGACGCGACACGCTTCAGCTGTAGCCGGCTCGCTTCGCTGTCTACGCAGAAGCACCGTACATCTAACGAACGATAAAAACAAAGTCGACGCAGAACCCGTTAGCTCCTTTACCCTGCCATCTCACTACCGTTATGTTTGGCCCTGCTCCCAGAATTGCTGCACCAGTGACGAGCAGTCATTAGCAGAATGAAGCCAACAACTAAAACTTGGTTACCACTTACCAACAGAAGAAAAACGCTGCCATAATGAGGACAACGAAGGGAGTTGCTGGCGAGTGAAACAAGACCCAACGACGAAGTGTCTCGCCGTTGCATCGTTCTCTTCACGAATTCAGATCTTCAATTCGTTTTAGCAGCGGCGGCGGTCGCAGCAACAGCAAAAACAAAAACGCCGATAACAACAACAATAACGACAGCAACAGCGGGAGAAGCAACACAGCGCGACGGCGGTTTCGCATGAATCCTGCTCGTTGAGTTGCTGAGGGCCTGAGCGAGACAACATAACGATTGCCACTACTGCTGCTGTCGTATCAGCATTGCAATCGACATTCATCGTCATGTTGGCCTAGCGGGCAGAGAGTGGGCAAAATGCAGACGGTTTTCTATACGAGTCCTAGCGACAGGGGACAGCGTAAGCAACAAGCGGCCAACCCGATTTTAGGGGTCAGGACTCCCGAAGAGTATGCAGACGGTGCGGTTTCGCGCCAGTGGCTGCGTCGTTGAGTAGCCACTACTGTCGCCATTCTACTTGCTTTTTCGGCCACGACCAACAACAAGCATCTATAGCCTGTAGCTCGAAGCTGATAAGAACGGATGGCGAATCACTGGCTTTTCGGTCGGCCCCACCATCGACAATGCTGGTCCTACTTGCTGAACCTGGCCACTAGTGTGGGCCACAGCCATAAGCAGGCTTCGACAATCGCTGTGGTAGCGGGGAAAGAATGGAGGGTCTAGAAAGTGCCGATGTGGCATTGAATCAGCTGGATGTGACAGGCTGAACGCTGCATGTAAAGCATAATACTACATATAGGCAGGGAACATTATGTTCAATCTGCCACCCGACAACTGTACGACGGAGACGGCCATTTACCGGGCCTGCCACAGGCCCTCGGGTCGCAGTGTACATGCGAATATATCGCCTGATAATGTACATCGTACCTTCTGGTTTGTATAATTTAATTGTTTCAAAAAAGAGAAGTCTGTAATGACTATTCGCGTTCCCATTGAGCAACAAAGATGCATTTAAATGCTTGAATGAAGGGTTGACAAACAAAAAGTGGAAAATTGCGCGAGGGATCTCCAAGACGAACAAGGGTGATGATAGTTGCCATTCAATAATCGACGCGATTACCTTTTCAACTTATCGAAACGGCGTCCGCAGTCGGACAGTCAATGGAACAGTCTCGTTTTCGATACGGGTTATTATTTACAAAGTACAACAAAGAATACTACCTTCAGCCAACACGTAAAATTGTTGATCGGCTAATCACAGTTTAGGCCCAAGGGGCCTGCAACTCATACTAAGTAGCTACAGTTATGAAGTCATTGTAGTTACGTGCTAACTACTAACAAATTAAACAAAAAAATTTTGCTTAATAGTTGAACTGCAGGTACTCACCGTATTCAGGGCCTTTTTCGATTATATCATTCCACTTTTTTGCCCAAGTCTTAAGACCTTTGGCGTAGTTTTTTTCCATTTCCGCCCTTTCGGTGACTAGCTGAATGAGGTCGTTACAAAGACGATTCCCATCTTCGATTCGTTTCGTTGTCCTTTTATAATTCCCAGGTTCCCAAAACGAGTCCGTTGAAGTAACTACCTCATCACTATGCTGCGACATCGTGCAGTCTTTCTCCGCTTCTTTACCAATATAGGAGAAACAGGAGTAAAAGCACACAAGGTAACCAGACAAAGCACTTATCCTTTCGAGGGAGGGGTGGCAGAAGCAGATCGAACACACTTCCACCCCAGCTTCTAACACTCTGCTTGATGAGCTTTCCCGTTCGAATCCACAAAATCAGAGGCTGGACTTACCGATAGGTTTACAACACCTTCTCAGGAACGGCACTTCATTCAGTTTATCAATTGGTGCATGTTTACAAGTGTATGGTCAAGCAACCATCAGCGATATGACCTGTTTCTGTAGATGGTCACCTTTCCTGACCGGCAAAATCTGCAGTATTACTAAAATTGACTAAGACTGGCAGGTACAAGTGTGTACGAGATAAATGATCTAGGAGTCAATAGGTCCTATGAGAGATAATAAATCCATAATTAAACAACAGTGATTGGGTTTGGAATCTCGCCCGCTCGCTGCTGCTGCGACGCAATTCGTGTTGTTGATAAGGTTGTGTCCTTTGTCTGTTGTTGTTATATTCCCTTTTTTCTCTATTTGCTTCGGTCATATACGTATCCTTAAGTACACAGAAATCACCCACAAACACACGGATAGAGGGACACGATTCACTAATGATTGGAACTGCCGAGCAAAGGCTATCCTTCCATACAACAAACTAATGTAGGCTGATCATGATCAACCTGTCATCATTAATTATGATGCACCGGCAGCGTACATTATATCCATGACAGAGAACGTTGCAATCGAGAATCCTGTTTGTAAACAGATCTTGCCAGAGTGACAACAACTGATTGCCTTACAACTTTGTTCTTTCGCTTTACAACTATCTTCACAACTATTAGATAAAATATTACCACTGATGATATGGCTAATCCCAAGTTGATTTACTTCTCTGTCACGGGTTGTCATTCGCTCAACTTGTCGTGCTGCACCGTATCGCGAACGTATGCTCACGTCCTGGACCGGTATGTCTAGATATCGTCGATGTCTAGCCGCCAAGCGCTTGATCGACCCACACTGTGTAACTGGCAGGTCGACTGAGTCGGAGACTCGTTCACACGAGATCTCTAGCGACGTTTATCTATTGTTAATGGCCGTCGTTGTTTTATCACAGCCGTTGTAAATCACGAATTTGTGCTGATCTGCTTCTGTGTATACTTATCGAGTATATTCGAATCGAGTACACTACCGTCGACGCTGCTGGCGCTCGATCGAACCCGTTGAGACGACTCACACTCTGCGCATTCAAGCGCACACTACCTGCCCTTTACTACATATACTCCATGCACTCTCGTTGACTCGTTTCTGCTTCTTCTCAATCCAGCAGCGCCGTCCGGCAACGTTGCTGTCAGCTCGATTCCGACCGAGCCTTTAGAGAGCAACCAGCGACAACCAGCAGCAACAGCCAAACGTCGCTGATTATTATCACTAGAACTTTCACCGTAGCCACTACCACGGTTTTCTCAGGGTACAACTGGCGCAAAATATCCAGAAACGGTACAGGCATCTAGCGTGTTCGAGCAAAGGCTCGCTGTCTAATATTGTTGCTGCCGCTACGGATATCGATGATAGCTTTCATGCTAGAACGATCAACTCACAGCAGCATCACAGTCCGTAGTCAGGACTTATCGAAGGAACAAGCCGCGAACTGCTGCTGCTGCTGCTGCGGTTGCAGCTGCATCTACGGCCTACCTCACATCAATAACGCAACCAAGTACCTATTTTGCCTCTGACGGTGGCTGTAGCCGTCTATTTCTCTCCCTTCTTCCTTTGCTCTAACGGCTATCACTGCGTTTCCAGTAGAATAACCCGCACAAGCCCACTCCGGACTACCCGACGAATACAGTTCTATCCGTGCCGATAGCTCGATCTGTCCACGGTCCTGCCAGTGCGGGAATAAGAAACAGAACTCCGTGTTTAGTCGTCGTCTGCGTTGTTGACATGGCGTGTCGTCTGCTTATCGCTTAACTGTTCTCAGCTGACTGTTCGTCTGCTGAAACGTCGTCGTCGTTAGGGGGCGTCTGCAACTTCGGCTTTCCACTCTGAGGCGACAGTCAAAGGGATAAGTGATCAGGCGCATTTGGCGGGCTCTCTCATCCGTTTGAAAATTTTAGCGCTTTACCCTTCCACTTACCCGCCGGTTTTCGCCACCCGACTGACCGGAAAGCTCGCTCTTTCACGCTCGCTTTCCTGTTCTCTCGCCAAGTCTGTAGATGTCCTTTTCGAAGCACAACAGTTGGTGTGGCACGGTAGGGGAAGATATCCTCTCCGTATAGTTCCGCTAATCTAGCGGATGTGAGAAGTACCGCGGCCATTGGGTTATTCAGCATCACACGTGAAATGTATAGGAAAAGCAGACAGAGAAAAGTATCAATCGTCCCCGTGCCAGCGCAATCGGTAACATGTTTGTCCGCTAAAGTTAGCGGCACGTCGTACTTAAGCTTAAATCGGGGAAGACAAAATTGGTTTCGTGCTGCGAGCTAGCCCTCTGATGTAAAGTACGACCATATTCAAGTTAAATAAACTGAATTAAGATAATCGAAGACTGAAGGAAACGTAATCACGTATTGTAAAGAGAATACTCGGAGTAGTGCATTTTTTTTGTGTAATCGATTTCGACGTCATCGATTTTGCAACGTATTTATTATGAGTTAAGCCTACATATCTAATGTTTGTATACGCTCCCTAATTAATGTGTGGTTTTAGTTAGCTTTTGGAAAATAATTTATGTTATAAGGTTTACAACTGAAGAAAGTGTTTTTCCATTGAGTATTTGTGAACGCCTGATTGGTTAACTCATGCAACGGATGTTTTTGTGTAGTTTAATGGCCGCTAATATTTTTTTAGTGTCAGATCTACCTAATTTGATATTAAACATATCATCGTTTCGCGTATGCTTATTCGAGCGGGACATGGTGGGTCTATATGCGCACGTATGTTATTACAAAAAAAAAATTACTCTGCATTAGAACCTGGTCAAACAATGAACGGGTAGCTTTTTGTAGAACAACTTCGTCTGTCATTGAGGTTAATTTTCCAAACATACTCTAGGAAGCTATTGCGCAACATCAGGTTTTCTGCAGGATTACTTTAAAAGATATATGGGCCATATTATATAGCTAAATCCTACTGATTGCTAATTTGAGAAAGAAATAAAAATAACTTACCTCAGCTCAATGAGCGTAAAGCTATGTATGCACCGATGGCGAATTAAACTAAGGGATCGTTTTTTTGTGCTTACCTTGGCTAGGTTGCCAAAAGCGTCTAAGCGATATCTGAGCAAAAGATATAGGTACCCTTCGTCATTATTTTTAAAATAAGTTTTTGTGAAGAGCGCTATTAGACCAGTAAGGATATAGAAGTTTTTGGCGTATGACTAATAGACGACCATATGTTTTTAAGTGTAGTAGGCAAGCTCGGCACTATTTTACTATCACAGGAACTTCTATGTAAAAGCGAGAATATTCAAGAAATTTAATAATTAGATTACTGCGATTAAATTATTAGCATTATTAATCAATTGAACTAGAACGTTCGAGTGCAGTCGACCTAGAGAGAATTCTGTTTACAATAAAAATAAAATCACCAGGTAATAAATAAATTCTTAGGAACGGATGACCTTCTATGAGCCACCAGCCTGCAAATATTATTTTCCCGATCCGTACGTCATGTTAAGTGTTTCAGCGTGTGTATCCGGTAAACGATAGTCAAAATAACCCAAATAGATAACATATCCAAGTTAGCTCACAAATCTAGCCTCTTATCGTAGGCATCACCCCATTAAAGTTTACAAATATATAAGAATGCGATCTATTTGCCGCTAAGAGTCTATAGCGCCAACACGGCCAGCCGTCCGACTGACGACACCGAGGCTTTCTGTTGGATCATGCTTCTGTCGAAAAACGTGTATCTTTCGTTTTTGGCTCTTCGTGTGAGTCTAGTTTATATACACAGTTAGAAAACTTATCTAGTAACCTCAAACTTGAGCCGTATTTTCAAGTGTTATTTCAGTATTTCACGTTACAATCGGTTAGCTTGCTATTGCTAAACTTCAACATTGCAATGTTCCGATCATCGTTATGTTAAGGCCAGTACGAGGTCCGCTGTTACTAATCGAAGCTACCGTGGTAAAATGATAATCTGTTATGGCTTAACGACCATAAAGCAACGACTACTAAATATGTTGGAATCTGTGTTGTCAGTTGACCGCGATTGACACATGCTTGCATCGAAAACAACCATCGTCCAAACGTTAAAAATGAGCCTGTGGTCTAAGCTAGGACACTTTGTCTTTTATTTCACTTCGTCTTTATTAACCGATAGCCGCAAATAACGGCCGGCAAGAGAACGTCTGAAGTCAAGAGTTTTTAGTGAAGTTCGCGTGAACTTGCCATGTTAATGTACGGTAATAGGAAATACAATAGTAAATTATTATCTATAATAAACGTTGATTAAACGCATCTCAGATGAGTCGAACAGATGCCTAGGGAGCCGTTATTTCAGTGGCTATATGGTTTATGCGTGTCCGAAAAGACAACATCCCTACGAGTTAATTAGACAATCTATAAAATAAGAATGTTATTTTGTGTGAATTTTGGTTTATTTTTTATACTTCATACTTGAAATAAGCGATTTTTCAATCTGGACATCAGGGCAAAAGGATTCCATCATAGAGGATTGGACATATTCCTTCGTTTACAATTGAACAATCTATATCCTGAAAGGATCCGTAATAGTGAATTGGTTAACTTAAGCTTATGGACAATTGGTGCTCTACGTTTCAATGCGGGTGTAAACACATTTCATCTTATATCTTATTTCGTTTCTTAAGCAACTGACGCAAAACAAAAAATAATCCATATATTTAGTCTATATATTTCACATAACAAGTGTACGAGGTTTTACCTTTGGTACTCTCGTTAAGCATTGCATTAGACAATCCAGATTTTGATTTTCTCCTGTTAAGAACATACGTGCTGTGCATGAAGCTCCCGTATTGTTGGGTGTTTAAAACTGGGCTGTTGAACTGGAATAGATAGCTTATGAATTGGCTTTGAGGGCAAGCGCGAGCTTGAGTAACATGCTATTGTACTGTATATTAACAATGACGCAGGTTCGTATACACGGTACCACCTGCTAAATAGGCATATGATCAAAGGTCGACGCGCGTGGAAAATATATTCCAGCAAAATTTATTCCTCATTAAAATCTCATGTGATATATTGCTGCTGTCATAATTTATTAATACCGTCTGTTGGGTAGACAACATGTCTAACTGTACAAAGTAAACTCATATACATACATATAACTTTATTTTATTTATTTCAAGAAAAGTACGCATGACTATGTCGGATCATAAAGTTTTTGACAACAATTTATGCCTATATTAGCCAGTATCTAGCCAAGCAAATAATTATATATGTGCAAAAAGTCAACACAGCACAAAAATGCACGCGATGCATTCATAAAAAGAAACACCAGCAGTAATAACGATAGTTTCCTTTCTCAAAAACATGATGCCCTGCAGAGATCTTCCAGCTGTCGCATAATGTACCTTACCAAAAGTCACCCATGAATGAATGCTTTCCCTCGACGAAGTTATCTCGTTTATAGGATCACTTTTCGTTTAGCCTATATCGTTCTATTTCGCTATATTTCTATTTTTCTATATTTTTAGCTATTTTCATCCCGATTTCAATTGCTTTAGCAAATGAGGTTATTTGCTGTTGTCTGCGGTTGTTCAATAAATAGCGAAAGAGGAAGATGGAATTCGAAGAGAGTATCGAGGCTATAATTGCCTTTCTCCCGTTTTTTCTAATATCATCGTTCTTTCGAACTGAGCCATGAGCTCATATCGCAGCTTACCGCCTCCATATCTCGAACGGCACGTTGATTAGTATCGCATATTTCGCATCAGAGACGCGTCGCTACAGCTATATCTTCGATTAAAGAATATGCGAAATAGATAAGGCCAACGCAGAAAAAAAGAGCAGAAGGCGTTGTCCCTTCCGTTATGCATCGTATTGACTGACAGTCTCCTTCATAACTGGTTGGCCGGTCACGTGTTTTCCAGCCATCAACATGAGTGTCGTCGATGACTTAATCGGCCTTGATGGCGCAGCATTGAAGCTGTTGTAACAAATTGTTCTCGCCAAGGTAGCGATGGTGGCAGACGCACGCCTCACCACTGCTTGCAGCGGTCACAGTAGCAGCGGGATTAGCAACCAGTGGATACCGATACAGACACGACTAGAGCTAGCGCCGGCCAGAGCTCATTCATTCGCCATAAGCAGCTAATTGGCTGACACATGGAGCTGTGCAGTCCGATGCTACATCGCGTTCGTGTGTTTACCCCGCCGTCATGGGTTTCGAACCGGTCACAACCGACAAGCAGCAATCTACAACTAGCTAATATCTAGTAATGGCTAGATGGATGAAATCCATGGCTCACGCAGCGCAAAACGATTTTCAGGTTATCATCAACGTCAACTAATGTCTCGCGTCTGTCTTGTGTAGATGACCGAGTCGATGGTATGCATGGTGGGACATAGACCAGTGAGTACTGCTGATCGTTTGCAGCTGTGCTGCAGTTCAATGTTGCGCTTTGGCGACTTGTTTGTTGTGTACATTAGTCAATGACGCACACATACACACACTCAAACACATGCACACAACACACGGGTGGACAGATGGACATACAGGCACAGACAAAGCCAAACGTTATTATTATCAAGGCTACGTTCAGGTTCAACGATAACAAGTCCTACGTGGCGTCTAGTCTAGTGGCTTTGTGTAATCGTCATTGTACGGCAGCTTCGTCTGGCCATACATTAGGAAAGAAAGAAGCCCAGAGCCACAATCTGCGTCGCTGTGCTAAACACGCAGTTAACACGCCAATTGTCCGTCTTTGCGGGTCTGTGACTGTTATACCTACCTGTGTTTGTATCTGTTGAGTGAAGTCTTCTTCATTGGGTTAAAGTTAATGTTGCTGGTTGCTTTTCAATGTCAGGCTGATCCGCTGCTGCTGCTGCCCCACCGTGAGACTGAGGCTCGCTGTCAAAATAGCCAGTTTTGGAAGAGGAGTACCATGAGGAGGCAGCGTACGACCTGTCTTCCTGTGCGAGCCTAAGGTCGGTTGACGAAGTAGTGTTTATGCCTGCTAAACAACGTCTGTGAAATGAAGCCGTTGTAGTGGTGTTAGCTACAAACGAAAACGTTCTTTTCATTGGTATAGAACAAATTAAGGTGGTAGAAATAATTTCATACTTAACAGCAGTGTTATTATCTGGGTAGAAAAGTAGATTGGACTCGTGCGACGGTGCACCGGTGTGGAAATGCGTGGTTCCTACTCGGGCCTTACGAGCAAATGCTAATATCAACAAACGGTTCCGTAATCACAGTCCCTGAAGACTGTTTCGCAACTAATCGTTTTTTGTGCGTGCCCACAGTAGAAGACAGAACGGAGTGAACTCGAAAAAGATGACGTGGATGAAGCACGCGGTGCCCGCTGGACTGGCATTTGTTATCTTTTTACCGCTGTTAGCTGTTCTGAAATACAACAAGCCAACAGAGCAGTTTCATATCAAGGCACGGAGAGTGGCCGATTTCCAAAATGCTATGGAGAATGCAATCTATATGGATCAGAACCGCGAAAATGAGCTTGGCGACGTGATCAATGCCTTACAGACACTTAACGTTAACACGGTTGGTACTCCTTTACCATTAGAAAAAAGAACTCTAAAAGAAACCTAGCTAGTCATCTAATAGAATTTAGTTTTTACGAGGAGTTTTTGGCTAAGATATTTAATACAGCGGGAAGTTGTAGAAATGTTTTTTTTCTATACTCTCTATGGTATGAAAAGTAATAGAAACAAACGTCAAATTATGAAGATATAGTATTATTGTGGATGAGTAATCTATATGTATACTGATTAATTTCTCTAGAAAAAAGTCTGTCCCGAGACATGAAATGACCAACGAATATCCTCTATTTAATCTAGAAATTTATGAGTAAGCATTTTGTTTCCATCACCAGCAAATTCGCCAGTTGGTCATCAATATAAATAGTGTTCGGCACCTCAAATATATAACACAATCTCTGTCTATACGTTTTGCATTTGAAAGGCGATAAGTCTGTACCATCGATATACTGCAAAAAGACGTCGCGTTTCAGTGTCTAGAGTCGATTGTCACACCGACGATTTACAATATGTCGTGCGATTTGGTGATCTCGATTTACTTAAATGCGCGCTATAAGACAAAGAAAAAGACGGACCTTATCTAAGCAAAAGGGAGCATGCTCATGCTTCGGAAAAACACCATAGACGAGTATGTGATTAGAACAGGGTTACTACTCAGAAACCTCTTCTTTAGACTGACGACACACTCGAAACCTTGAGCATAGCGGATATTTTCGGCGGAATCACGATTGCTCGTAAAGAAGGGATATGTCAGCAGGCCTAAGAAAACTAACACACCTGTATTGCAGTAAGCCGGTGTTGGTTAACCGAAACGGGCTGAAGCTGGTCGTCAGCTAGCCGCACAAGGGGCCAAATGGGTTTTCGCCCGAATCCCGGATCGTATAAAATGATGAGTCTAGATGTCAGCGGATATCTAAATTGCGCTGCTTCCGTTATTATAGTGAGGTTGCTGAAAGGGAATAGCTCGTACTTGGAATTGCCTTGAACAAGGTGTCATTAGCGGTGTGTTCTGTAGACCCCAACTGGCGAAGCTTTCTGGACAGAATGCAAGTCGTGCTCCGGCCATTGGCTAGCGTTGATAACGGTTGAAAACTTCAACTTCAATAATTGTCGAATCTGGTAATTATCGTCTTTCTGCTCATGGTTTTTGTCGAATTTATCAGACCAAGAAACGAGCTGGTTCAGGTTTATGACCGGCGACTTTCGATCTGCCTTCGGAGATGTTAGTCAGACTGGGGAAATTTTGAATGCCTTGCCCCTCTACATTACTCCGGTTAGTGTTTCTTCCAACCTTTATGGTTCGAGTTTTACGCCCGGTATCGTTGCTAGGCAGGCATCCCATCAGACAGATGGCTAGCATAGACAGACAGACTTCGTTTCGAGCTGGGGGCCAGCCATCTATTAAAATACCTGGCTACCGTCAGCGACACCGGACGTAGAACTCAACACAGAGGGTGGAAAATATTAGGCAGGAGCTCATTGTAGAATAGCCTACGCTAACTGTGCTGCTGAAGATTCTCCTAATTTGTAAACGAGAAAAGTAAAGAAGCCAAAAAAAACTTTCCACTAACATTACATGATTCACGGTCGTAAAAAATTTTTTTAAATCATAATCGCGTAACCGATGCGGACCAGCAGTGAAAAAGGTCAGATAGCGAAATCGTTTATTAGGTCAATCCCATTAAGCGTCTTATCTTTCGAAAACAGCCGATATTGATCTTTGGTTAAAAAAAAGTCCGTGTAGCAGAAACCAGATGCGTCGAAACAATTTCTTGATGTAATATTGCGCAGAAATAATTGCATTAAAGTAACATTGCCAAGAAAACGAAAACTTCAATGGTTGTTATAGGGCTTGTTTGGCAGTGCCACAGAACAAGATGATATCAGAATAATTACTAAGATGTCTAGTAACAATTGTATATATTATATTACATGATATGATTTTTCAGTCGGCTTGAGATCGATGGACGATCTGTGACGCCAAGTAACGCGAAACGCTACATCTGTTTTAGAACCAGTTTATGCTGCATTGATAGAAATACAGTATAATTCTTCCTTAACGATTACAAAGTGCTGTTAAATTGGCTACCACTGTATTAGTAAAATGGATACAGTTGTTTCTAAAAATTCGAATTTTTTAGCCCCCAGATGCCTGTAATTAAACATAACTGCAATTGGAAGACAAGTCCTCTTATCTTATCAACAAATCAGCATAAAAAAGTTCTGATAAGTATCAATGGATAGTGCTTAAACAATCAAATTTCAAATGAGCCGTATTAATACTGTCAATGGTCATCTGCATATTGTATAGTAAATCCTTTTTTGTCTGTCGGGATCAGAAACTGGATATGGGAAATTGTCACATGAGTTCTTGGTAAACAAGAACTTGCACAAACATCTAATCCTGTTAGATACAGTTGTCGGGAGCTGTCCAATGAAGTCTATGCAGGTCTATGTAGTTGCCCGCTCACTAGGCGTACATGTTTCAATGAAGACTTTGTATCAATAGAGCAGTACTAGAACTACTTTCAGAGCGATGTCGTTTTTCTTTCATCATGGCTATGGGCTTGATCGCTTCACCTGCTAGATATTTGAAAAGGTAATACGTTTTATGTCTCGCAGGCCCGTATAGAAGTAGCAGAGTAATAATTTTAGCAACTTTCGCTCGGCGATTTTACCCAAGGGGTTACTGGAACCCATTGTTTGCTATCCAAACTGTGGTACTATTCAACAGTGACCAGTAATCAAGAAAATCGATTGTGCCTAGTTATGATTACCTCATTTTTGTCAGGAATTGCACTGTCAATAAAAGAGCTTGAAGGGTGCTCTGACTATCTACAACTGTCGACATTTTGCCAACAAAAGTTGAGCAGTGTGACGATAGTCGATCCATTGACGCTTTCGCCTTGAACCAACTAGCTCTCTACTTTGTAGATGCTGCATATGTCTATTTACAAAACGAATGGATGATGGAATTACGAACCCTGATTCGCGTTAGGTTCGTCGGATATTTCGGCTGTCGATCAGATCGGTATGGATCGCACGGTTCAAGCCGAAGATTAAATTTACCTCATAATAAATAACTTAGCCCCCTGCTAGTATAAAGCATATCATGCACGATCTATTTAGTTGGGCGGTTCTCGGTCGTACACTGCTTGATAACTTAAAAGATAGTTTATCAAGTACGAATGCAACAGCTCATCGGCGAAACTACTGAAAAAGGACTTTCAATTATTTCGTCTCTATTTGTTTTTTTCAGCATCTCATCATTAGCAGCTTATCATGAAAAGCCATCACCGATATGCCCCTATACACAGTTCCTTTGGATCATGAATTTTACAGAACTCGCCCAGTGCTTCGACACAGAAAGGTAGACTCACAATTGAGTTCTATCGCCGGATCAAGTCGATTAATGCCAGCCACGTTTCAATTGCCGGACGACACCGTTACATAACAAATACGAAATAGCAAAGCTACAATACGGCCCTGCTGCGATAGCGCAGAAATATAGTGTGATTACTGTCATATTTTACAATGTAACGCTCCTACTCAATGTCGTAACAACATCGACATATCCCTGGGGGCCCCCGTATATCGGGGGTGTTACAGACACCGCTACTAGCACCAGCCTATGAAATCTTGTTGTCTTGTTGCTGTCCGGCTACAAAACCCTTTTACTCGGGCAATCAAAACTGCAGTCCATAGCGTTACAGTCGTTCAATGGCACTCCGGTCGCAATCCCAACACTATGCGATAGATCGCACACATAAGCCCGGCCGCCAACCTACGCCACAGTTGAGTAGAAAAATTACCTGCTTTTTACCTAGGTAGTTAGCACATGGTAAGCTAGCTTAACGCTGCCCAATGAGAATCAGTTTTTGCATAGCCGAGAACAACGTCCGCCCAGCTTCATGATCGTATTGGATTGAAACGGTTGTTGTTCATTGTCGATTTTGGCGGCATCTTTGGACGTTTAATATCTTTGCACTGAGATATCGGGAAGGAAGGCGTATAGATATCGGCGCAGCTTGGACAGCGCGGAGTGAAGAAGATGCGCAGTGTGGCATCCCCGTGGCGGACGCCGTATATTTGTCATTATTGACAGTTTGATATCATATTATAATATCCGGTATTGACTACCCGTGAAAATTAGCATCCGCTAGATGTAGGAAAGGTGCGACAAAATGGCCGCGAAGCTGCTTGAAATTATTATTTGGCGTTTGAGTCCATGGTTGTTGGCTGATGTGTTTGTAAAACCACAGTGGCTGTCCCGCGTCGTTTTACGCTACCAGGAATGTCTCGATACAAATACTCGTCGTATAAAGAACCGACACACCTATACTGACTAGGCGAATTGTCGAGTTCAAAAAACTATTTTACTGTAAGTTGTTATCCAAATGTAAGTTTACTATTGCCTAAAGCTACATAATGTGGCAATGTTTCGTGCCGCTAATACAGGATAACATAGATATATTCATTCAATTATTCTTAATTTTACCGCTTTACAGTCTGTGACGAAAACTGTGTTGAAGGGAACGATGCATCTTCATTATGATTTACCGACACATCCAAACCGATTCGGCGAATTCAGAAACAGAAAATATGTTACGTTCAAGTACCGCTTGATTACGTATCAATAGTTTCTGAAGGCTCATCTTCGTTGAATAATGGGTGATCGATAGTGTAATGAAGCCGACATGTTTACATAAATGTGCTCCTCTGATCGCTTTCACAACCTGAATTCGTTGTTTTTCTGTGTTAAGAAAACGATAATATCCAATCTTTCGTTTCCCTGGGTAGCATGATCTACTCGCAATTACAATATTTAAAACTTGTAGCAAGCGTACTAACTTGATATCCAGTAGCGGAAGAACCGCTTGTAAATTTCTATGGTAAACGAAAGGATCAAGCAAAAACGTAGTCTGAACTATTTGAGCCTAATTTTTTGCTGATTTCGTTATACAAAAGCGTCCAAAAAATGGCGCTAAACGATTCCAAAAGGGATGCCACAGAGAGGCTCGACCATTCGACAACGTCCGCCTTTTTCGCAGTTATCGAAAGGTCTGGGGACCGATATTTTGTCTTACAAAACGTTATCAGAGGCCAAAATACCTCACTAAACCAGTAACATAACATCAATTTGCTTTACAAAAAAAAAAAAATGGAAAAAAGTAATTCGTTTTTCGTTTTAATAGATCTTCTTATTGAAATTCAATCTCAGTCTACACTCTAGGTGTATCTTGACTGAGCTTTTCCTTTAACCAGGCGTATAACTAACTGTTCTTTCTTTCGGTATGTTATTGCAGATTCTCAACACTACAGACACAGGTGTGACTACGAACGAAACGTGCAAAACGTGCTTCACACTGTTTCGTTCTGCAAGGGTAGCTATGACACAATTCACGCGGCGCGAGTTAAAAAAGATGAGCGCGTTAGCGTGTTCCATTTTTGCGGCCGACCTCGTCAGCCCTGACATTTGCCAAGGCCTCATTGATCAGTACCTCGACTCGGTAAGGACGCATGCATTCACTGAAGCTGTACTAGCTTCGATTTCATTCCAGACAATCGTCGGATAGTTTTTGCGGACTCTAATAAAAAAAATAAAGGATTATATATCTGTCCTGTGGACAAATAATTGTGTGAGTTTGCGATGACGACGATTGTCGAAGATACTGTTCACTGATAAAGTTCCACTTGCCTCTGGGTGTCCGCGCAACGATTCTAGCCGAAAATGGGCTTTGATTTCAGAAAACGGCGCAGCCAACTAAATACAGCATAAAACAGTTTTCAGACTAACACAAACACAATACGACGTATGGCGTCTATACAGGTTGTATTCTTTTTCACGTTACGTTGCTAAGTGAAATGAATACGCTTACTACGACGACTATAATGAAGTGGACAAGGGTAGCTAGGCCCTGATTCTTTCTGTACATGCAGCCTACGTGAGAGTGGTACGCTCTGAATACGTGCATGAGGTTGCTCTCAAAGGAACAATCATGACGTTAGTAGGGTGCTTACGTTCGGTGCTGAGAAATCTAAAACAAAGCCAGGTTACTGCTGACCGTTGGCATACGCGCAGTGAGTTAGGCCGTCGTAGTATCGGCAAAATTGGACGAATTGTTTCGAAAGCAGATGACAGCGGACGAATGGTTGCACTTCAGTTGAGCGTCGATAGATAACCTATAATACAAGCATTCAATCCACAAGTTTGTAACGGCGAATGGTATTAACAGTGTCGGAAGTGTCGGCAAACGCTGCTACGGAACGGCGCCCATCAGTTCGTTTACCGATATAGCAAAGGGTGAATATCGCACGTTTGATGCCGACGCAAATCTACTACGTTAGGTGCCCTAGCATAAAAAGTAAAGTAATCGTTTTTATGTGTTAAGTAGGCTAAGCTCAAGCATCATTTGGATAGGTACCATCTCAATGCAAATATAGAAGAGCTTATTGAATATTGTCGATAAAGTTTCTGGCAAGCATTCGAACTCGTTCATATCTCAGAAGTTTATGTGAAGTTTTCTAAATTGCGAAACCTTCAAATGCGGCGGGAATCATTTGTTTTTCGATCAGTATATAATACACGTAGGTGGTGTTTTTGCTTTCTAGGGTAGTAGATGGAAAAGAGTTGCATCGCGCCCCTTCCTGATTCAGAAGTTAAATGCACATTTTGACGTATTTATTTACGAGGATAATTATCGTATAATATAAAATTGTGCCATATATAGTGGCAAAATAAATAGTCTCGCTAACTTCGAGCTATTTTGGGTCAATTGGTCATCAATTTCGTGTTTAGAGTAGTCACAGTTGCCCCACATGTTATACGTAATCTGAACAGATGTCTTTAAAGTCACATTTAGCTGTTGGCGTTGATTGCACAACTCTGCTTTTTGCCCTTCTGGGTAATTTTCGAAAGCCGTTGACCTTATGCCTTACACCAGCATCATCCGTTACAGACCCATAGCAAAGCGTAGCGATTGACCAATTGTGGTGACAATATTTACGCTATACCTAATTCTAATTGAACGACAGCGTCAGAAGCCGCGATACATGTAGCTCACATTCAGTTTTTGACCGAATGAAATCGATTATTTTGAGACTTATATGCAACTTCCAATACGACTTAATATCAATCAACTTAGATGTACGCAAAGCTGGTCGTTTTATTGATCTGTTGCTGGTATGAATATATACAGTAAAGTCGACAACGAAAACACTAAATATAATTTACTTAGGAAAATGTATGGCTTATTACTTAGCTTATTGTATGAATAAATACCAAACACGTCCGTCTGGAAGATCTGCAAGTTCGATCGATAACTTCTAGATCTGTCATTTAAAGAAGTTCAGCACTTGAAACCTATCCGGAGACCCAAGCGAAAGACTATAACTGAGGCTTATGTGTGTCGAAATTCATTCAGTCCGCAAGTAAACTCTTAGATATAGTCTAGGTCCTTTAAAACGATTTAGCAGCTTATTAGGTGTGTGAAATTATACTGATCATCTGTTTTGCTTCGTATTAATGATTTTCTGTGTACGTGTATCCATTTCTGGGTTCCACCAGGTATATAACATTGCCGAACGCGTATTCGCAGCAAAGATGAGCCAAAGTGACATTTGTGGTTTGATGTTTGGTCCCACCTGTGGACCAGTGACCGCAAAACAACACACCTGGAAAGTAAACCTGCCCAAGAAGCTTCGTATGGGCGCAAAAACGAATCAAGTAAGTGATCTCAGTCGTAATGTTCCTATTACATAACCGCTGGCCAAATTTATTTCTTTCTCCTAAACTAGAGTGCAATAGCGAGTTCAGAATAAATTCGAAATATGCATTAGCTGATTAGGTTATCGTTAACGAGCAACGCCCGTCTTGTTGTTTCCTCGCGCGGCTTTTGCGACGCAGGTCGGACCTGGAACTCAGGGAAACTTAGTGAGGAAATTTGAAACCAAGCGTAGCTGGCCTTCGTTTTATGCTGAGAAGAGCCATCAGTCGTCTGAAGCAATCCTTAACGTAGGCAGCACTTAGCGTAAAACTAATTTCTTTAGGTCCAACCCTCGAGACATCTATAAATTTAATAGGCTTGTCTATGAGACCCAATCAATGGTGATAGAATCAGATGAGACATAACCTAGTCATGACAGCTATCTATTTGAAGCGCATTCAAACATACAGTGTGAATATAAATTCTGCCAAAATCAAAACCTGTGTGTTATAACTAGCATGAAAACTTGGCATCTCTGTTCCTTACGCAGTCTTTCTGACAAGTACTTTCTCCCCTCTTGACGTCCCCGGTCAGTTCTCCAATTTATGCTGTCTGATTGTGAGAATATGGATAGGTTCCTTTTTCGAACACCGACACCAAACATCTAGCAGAGTTTGTATCTATGATGAGGCTGCTGACAATAAAACACGTATGGAGCCACATGATAGATTTTAGCCCGAAAATTACAGTCTTTCATGAAGTTGAACTTCGTACGTAAGTCTTACATCGATAAGATACTACTTACTCGTCGTTGCCATCGGTTAGGCGTCAAATTGTCATTGCTAATCTCATTAGTAAAATTGTTTCTCTACTAACTAGCGTCCACAGATAAATACTTTGATGAAACAGCGTAAACGTTGCCTATCTGCTAAATCGTCGCCCTAAAAGGTTGCGGTTGTTATTGATTAAAACAAACAAAACAAAACTAGTTAGCGATGTCTGAACAGATTCTGTGACAGTTATTAGCGGCTCACGGCGTTAAAGCTAATTCATGGCCAACCTTTTCAAAGGTATAAAAAATATATTAGAACGCAAGCCTCTAAGGCAATTTCAGAAGTAGAGATTATAGTATTCACGTTGCCAACGGTAACCAAACGTGGTACCTACTAGTTCTGATGATAAATTTATGTAAGTGTGTATTTGAATAACAAGCAGTGCACCAATATCGAGAACCTTAGTTCTAGCGGGAATTTTAAACGCGGGCAGTAATCTTCCGCAGCAACGTCTCGCTGCTTGCATTAATGCCGCTGACACCATTCGAGAATATCGAGATACTATGGAGCGTACTACTTTACTGATAGTACAGAAAAAGAGATTTCCATATATAAGACTATAAACGTATGCGCGTCCTTAAATGTTAGATAAACATACGATGATCGTTCGACTTAAATTAAACAAACACTAAAAGTATGTGCGTCTTTCTCTACAAAACGAAAAACGTTGCCAGACTTCTGCAACAATGAAGATTCTACATATATCCGATATCCATTATGATCCACGCTATCGTCAAGGGGCCATAGCCCAGTGTGACCGGCCTCTTTGCTGTCGGGAGCTGCCCGAACAGCAGAACCCGGAATCGAACTTGCTACCATTGGTAATTTCAACGGAATCGTCGAGTCTGAGCAACAAAAATGCCGAGAATCAGGCGGTCCGAATCAGTACGGAGGTTTCGATGTTAGCAGGCCATTTTGGTGATACACGTCACTGCGATATGCCGCTCGAGACGATCGAAAGCCTCGTCAACGATGCCGTCAGCATTACCGATAAGGTTTGATATATATACATATAATTCATGCTTGTTTAATCTGCGTGAGCTTGTAGCTAATTACGTGAACACTGTAAAGAAAACGAGAAATAACTCGGGAGCGTGTATAACATTTGTGCTGATAATTGAGCTATAGTTATGAAGTGAATTAATCTTCGATGGTTACTCGACTTCCTCATCAACATGGCGTCTTCTTGCCAAATAATACTCAGAAAGAAATTTACTAGGTTCATAGCATCATACTTGTTATGGATAACTTCTTTGTAGTAATTTAGAGCATTCTATTTTTTCTTTGTTTTTGATACATAATATGAGTTCACAGATAAGTTGCTTTTCTCTAAGGACATTCTCTATCTGATTTTCCATTCGTTTTTACTAGTAGCATACCTTTATTATTAATACGATTAATTACCGCAGTATACCTGATCAGATCTTACTTCTGTCGGAAGAGCAAATTTTATCTATAAAAATATAGAAAACCTTACTTTACGTATCTCACTAGACAACCTTCACCGTAAATTTACGAGCTTAACGGGTTTGTACCTGCGCGCGTAGTGCCAATCAAATCCAATTACGCCTGCGTCATTTTTTCTAACATCTCGACCTTACCAGATATCTCACGTTTACCTGACGGGCGACATCCCACCGCACGATGTGTGGAAATCGAATAAAACGGAATACTGGAACATTACACGGACGGTCTATCAGTTGTTAGCCGATAAGTTGAGTTTTGACGTGCCAGTATTTCCTGCCGTGGGAAATCACGAGGCTGTACCTCCGAATCTATTTTCTACTGAGACTAGCAATAAAACCTTCCGACAATCGCTTCCCACTGTCAAAACTTTAGAGCTCTACGAAAGCTTAGCGGATATTTGGCAGGCCTGGCTTGCTGATGAGCAACTGGTTACGGTACGTTCTCGCACGTATTTGATAGTTCTATAAATACAATCAATGAAGTAGTGAAAGATTTAGCACTGCAGCAGGTAATGCCCTATAGCTCAGTAAAACTGAGCGACAAATTCTTTGCCTATTATTCTCAATTTTTCTTAGGTTGAACAACTTCTTTGACGTCAATTGATTTTCATACGGGGCGCAAATTTTACGATATCAAAAATGGTTCTGCCTGTTCTTCCAGGTGCGCCGCGGCGGCTTTTACGCCAAAACAGTTTCGCCTGCATTAAAAGTGATTTCGTTAAACACTAATATGTGTTACTACCTCAATTTATGGCTGTTAGCCGATTCTCGCGATCCTGCAGGACAGCTTGCGTGGTTAGTGCGAGAGCTCGCTGACAGCGAAGGACGAGGTCAATTCGTCCATATTCTTGGTCATGTGCCCCCTTCAAGTTTCGATTGCATCTACACGTGGAGTGAACAGTTCCTGAGAATCGTCCAAAGGTAGGAAAGATTCATCTCTCTCTATCAAAAAGCCAGATATAGTCTACTTTATAAATGTTTTGTGTCAGATAACAGTATACATGAAATTCTAACTAACTAGCTCGCAACTAGATTCATAATTAAAATATATGGACCTCTTACTGTACAACCAAAATTTCGGTAATGATGAGCTACATTTGCCTAATAGCATAAATTCGAGCGCATAGATTTGCCATAAAAAACTCTTAAGAACTAAGACTGATTGTGGTAGATGGATAATTGTCTAGATGTTTATAATAATTTTGACTTGTGAGTGGATTAATATGTGATTAGTCCATGTTGGAACTTCTACTTTACATAAATTCGTGAAGTCACTTTGACCAAAACAATTTCGTAGTAAGGGCCGTAAGTTTTCAGGTGATCACAATCACCATGGTATTTGTCGTAGCAAGTTATGTCACAGGCAGATTTTTTTCGTTTGAAAACAAGGCCAGTGCGTTCGCATCGACCCGCTTATATCGAGCAATTATGCGCAAAAACAGATCACAGAAAATGCTGATATTTTACCCTCATTAAGCCGTGCGTCATACGTGCAGTAGACTCCATGGATCGCGTCGTTGATTCCGTATTCTCCTGATCAAATGCACCCAGAACGATTAAAGCGTGTATACAGTGTTAAGCAAAAAAATATACAGTACCTGATTAGTATGCAAAAGCACGACATCATTTCCGCACAGAAATAAAACAAAGTTCATAAACTTGATATGCATTGACCTGAACAGACATGTTTATTAAATTAAAAGTTATCACATCGTTCGAAGCCATAATATTCCATTAATGCAATTATTCATTTATTTAGAGTGATAATATGACAAAGATTCATTCCATTCATAAGGAGAAGATATATACGTCACATAGGAAAATAGGTTATCTAAGAAACCGAAAATCTGAAAAACTAACTTCAAATATTTTTTGTGTTTGGGAAATAATTTTATAAAAAAAAATATTTTTTTTCAAATTTAAATACACCTTTATTCGAAAGTAAGGGCATAACGAAGTAATGCAAACGTATTGCTATTACACCAATATGTGCAGTTCACGTTACAAAAACATTTATTAATAGGCTCTGAGCCGGCGACCTCGTGCAATTTGCATTCGTACCGCTTCGTAAATTATCCGTAGGAATAAAAACAAGCATCTCAGTGCTAGCTTACGCCGTCCGTAATACAGTTCTGCTTCTTTCCATAGTGAGCTGCAATGCTTTTGTTAGAAATGGCCGTGCTTGCTTGTGAAAGTAATACTGCATTTGAATGGAACCGACTGAAGTCAACGTATGACACCCTCTTCTACTGTCATCATTGGGAGCTGGTGCGGCATTTGTGAGGTTCCGAAAGGTTCCTTAATATAAGCTTCGACGGATCTGCAAACACCAACAAAAACTGTCTTGAAGACCCAACTTCTTTTTCTGGATAAATCTTGATCGGCTCTTTTCTAATGGCGAGGATCGGTGTTTCCTACATTTGTTTATGTCACAAAATAGCACGCTTATGTTTCTGCACGAAAACTGAGATTCTTGCGAACTCGACCTCTTCTAAACATAGAATAAAGCTCTTTGTGAACGTTTTCATTACACCTAATACAGGTGCGCAGGTAACGTATATGCTTCATCTTCATGCGGCCGCGATTATCTTTATTACTTCGATTGATCATTACAGCAGTACTTCACTAATACATATCGCTTGCGAAATATGCTCGTCACAGTTCAATAACATGTTTTAAGTTAATATATTTTCAGGTTTTGGTTGTGAACTCATTTGATGATTGACTATAGAAATTACGTTATCTTGAAATCATCCTTTAGCTCGAGTTCTGCTATTGACGCCTATAGAGTATACAAAATATACAATAAACATTTCTTGCGATTATCGATCTCATTTTTCAGATTTAATTCAACGATTACCGGTCAATTTTATGGACACACACATTTCGACCAGTTTAACATGTTTTATAGCGAAGACCGCTCGACGCCAGTCGGAGTAGCTTTCATTGCCCCCAGCGCAACCTCTTATACCTATGTAAGCCTCGCTTTTGGAGGGACAACATATTAATTGGTGTATGTTACACTGATAACCATGCAAATCGTTCCCGGCATCTACTGGTGACTGCTATTTACACCGTTTAGACTCGGTACCATACGAAAGGCCCGTGGGAGTTCAGAGTCAAATTTTTACCCTGTTCCATGTCTATAAATATTTGTTAGAATATATGGTAACAATAATAATTAAAACGGTATTGAATCATATTTTTTTCTTTCGTCTTAGAACAATGTCAGCTAAGACCGATCTTCATTTCGGTTGTTGTTTTATCTCGTTAGGTTAATCCTGCGTACAAACTCTACACATATCGCAGCGAAGGTGTACTGTATAACTCTACAACTCGATCATTTGATCTGGCGATGGCAAATTCCAAAGGGTCAATTAACTGGCAGGCGGAATATGATGTACTGGGCGCATTCGGAATCGACGATCTTAGTCCATCAAGTATGGATTACTTGTCGAAAAAGCTTAACAACGATCTGGAATCGTTTAATGCGTACTTCAGGTAGGGGATGCTAAAGTAGAACACGACAGCTCGCAGTAACGAAAACAATGTCATTGAAACCTATCTATCGTCGGCCTTTTTAAACGCGATTTGCTTCCGATTTCATACAGCTGAGAAGAGAGGCACCAATCAAAATGATGGTGGGGCTCTGGCAGAGACGCAGCGAGGCTAAGTTTACTTTTTTTCCAGTGCCCGATTTCTTGACTGTTTCTCTCTCTCAGTAGTTGTTATCCCGCGCACTTTAAAAAGAGCAAAAGAAGGAAAGCAACACCAATTTGAAAGACGTAGCACTTGACTTAACTATTGTTGGTAGGTCGTTCTTGCTTAATCCTTTACTTAGCATCATACAAAATGGACCTTGTACGATTATGCAAACGAACTAAAAGTTCGAATTTCTATTATGATGCTGCTGTTACATAGGTTTTATCATCGAAACAGCTCACACAGCCATTGGGCCAATTGTACAGAAACCTGTAGGTCGAACATCGTTGCAGCAACAGCGACCGACGTTCACCACCAAGGGGCAGCGCGATTTGTGCGACAGAAAATCGACCTTTTGGATTTAGCTTGTAGAAAATAACTTATTCTAATTGTTGTGTATTAGTACTGTTAAGATTAATATTATTGTTATTATGCTTATTATTATTATTGTATCATAGCTCTCTTTCCTTGTATAATTATATTATCTGCAAAAATGCGCATATATATATGTCTGTTCATATGTAAGTATTTCAAGCTTTTTATGTAGCACTATAGCGGAAATACACTGATTATTTAGACATGTGACAGCGTTTCTCAGACAATGTATATTGAGTTCTCAAGTAAACGATAGATTTACGCGTCGCGTTAAGGGACATAATTACTGTCCCAAACTTAGCCGAACCAGGATTAATCCTAACAATGAACTTAACTGTGCGCACCGTATGCAATGCTTGCCTTTTATTAAGTGCTTACATGTATGGGCTATTATCTTGGATTATAATGGGGGGTGAATATACCAATGTGTGAGGGCAGCTTTAACAGATAAACAAAAGAAAGAACAAATATAGGCTGTATCTTAGAGAATGTACTTATGGTGTTTTTATTCATAGCCGCTAGTTTTACTATGAGAGTAACACTTTGCAAACGCGTAGATACTTGGACGTTCTCACTTTTTGCTACAGCACTTTAAAAATACACAAAATAATATTAGCCCACTCGTTATGTGTTGCCAGTTTAAAAAATTATACATTTTTTTCCTGAACGCAGTTTCATGATTATCTCTCCAGATGCCTATTTCTCTCAATAAGGACAAAATACACTCAGTAGTATAAACAAAAAATGTCACTCAGCGATATCTCTCCCTGTCAAAAACAACGCTACGTCACTACTTTATTCAACATCTGTCCTCGTTACCAACATCATCTGTAAAGGTGAGTGTCCCAGTCCCGCTCGCCACTACGTCTCTTTAAATATTGTTGATTTCCCTTTCTCTTTGCTTTCGCCGCAAACGGACCTCTCCGGGAACACTCCTCTACTGCACCCCTTCTCTTTTTCTCAGCCATGTTATTATCTGCTCCCCGTTTCGACAGCGCGATTCAGCGTGCCCAAAACACTGATCGTGCCACAAAACGAACCACACAGCAGGGTTCTCTAGTAAGCGAACGTATCACAGTCGAGCACATTGGTATCAGCCCTCGTCGAATTCTTTGCATTTTTTGGTGATTGCTGCTGCTGCTAGTGGCCGCTGCCATCGCCGCTGACGCCGTAGAGTTATCGATTCGTATACGGAGTCGCGTTGAAGCGCCGTGCCGTTTGAGGTTGTCGTGCCGTTTCGGTAGCGTGAGTGTTAGCGAGTGCGTACAGTATAGAGGGTGGTCGCCTGGTATAGAAATAGTATGTCGTGCTATTCAACGCACGAATTTTGAGTGCGTTCCATCGCGTTGGTATCAGCTATTGGTCGTGTATAGCCACGGGATAGATCCGTCTTGTTATTGTTTTGCTGTGGTGGGATGTTTGTTGCTTGTGCTGCTGTTGATGTGGTTGTTGTTGTCAGCGGTGTCGAGGCGACCGGCTGGCGAGCGTTTGCTGCCTGGATCGTCGTGGGGCTCCGTGTGCGTTCGAAGCGTTTGTTGTGATCGTGATGCTAATGGTAATAGCTGTTTAGTGTGTTTGTGTACGGCAAAAGATTGTATTGCATATGAACGTGTTTGGCCACTTAGTCGCCAGCTTCGCAAGGATAATTGGACGAGCGGCACGCCTAGATAGCCGTGAGGTCTACTCTTGGCTTCAAGGTGAGCTAAATAAAAAAGGCCTTCGTAGTTCTTCGTCGCCTAACAACGCGTCGTTTCTACCAGAGTCTGGCGAACACAAGCATTTTATAAAAAACATAATAACATGAACAATATGTATCACGACAGGGGCATGACACTAACGACGGGAATGATTTTGTTCAGTAATGATAAACCCAAAAAAAGGTCATTAGAGTACATTGTTGCTTTTAACAGGGCTTTTATTAGGAATAACAGGGCTTTTATTAGGAACTGATTATTATCTGTGGGACAAAGATACAGCGCCCGAGCAGCGCCCTGTTTTTATCTTCGTTGAGGAAAAATGTCGCTCCAGTATCAAGTGAGGTTTACCGAACGAGCAGTAGCAAATATTCGAAAAAACTGTTCGCCACTGTGTAAACGCGGTGAGACGCCCCCGTGAAACTATGCAATCGTAACATGTTTACTTGTTTGCCTTCTAAAATTAAAATCACTTAGTGACCGGATGGTGTAGGTTCGAAACCGGACGTAGACACCCTATGTTTGATGCTACTGGAAGGGCTCGCCAGGCGCCTGGGCAATGCTCGTCTGAGTGGCGCTTGCAGTGAACGCGAAACCTCAGACGTTGAATTTAGACGTGGTGAGACATTATACCATACGTTTGTTCGCGAGAGACTCTTTCAGATGTCGCATCCCGTTTTGCTGCATGGATAGATGATGTTTGATTGGTCATATGCGTAGCGCCTTTTGATTAAATGCAAAACTGCTAAAATGATTGTTAAAACTTGCATAGAATACAACTGAACCTATTGTTATCGTTATTATTACCAAATGTGTTATTAAGTTGGATCTTGTATAGCTGTGCGTTCCATGAATAGACGTTCGTATTGCTATTGTAGGCTCATATGCAGAACTCGGTTAGGTATAAAGACCAATCCTATTTAAAGTTTCCTAATGCTAACATGATTTTGCTACATAAACACTGATTTTCTTAACAAATGAACTGTAAATAACATTACCTGAATTTGTTATACATTGTAGGCCAAATCTCATGTACTTTCGTAGTACATATTGTACAAAGAAAAACTTTTTTGTTGTATATTACTTCAATATTCTTAACTACTGCCCTTGTTACCTACATACTGCCCTGATAAGTAGTATACTATTACGAAGTAAAATTTAGTGTCGGTGTCCGGCTTGAATCTAGTAGAACATTACGTCGCCGCCCAAACGACAACGAAGGTAACACCGAGGGTACATTTGATTCTTAAGGTACGATACAAGAAGGTCCTTCATTATGTATTGTCCCAATATTAGCTGTTTACTTTGGCGATTGGTTAATCAGTGTCGTAGCCACAACTTCCTCAGCAAGATTCGCGACCAACATGGCCGCGGAAGGCTTGATCATACCTCACCGCTTGCTGCCTGCCACTGGTCCGGCGTTGGCCCTCGCTGTAGACGCTGCAGGCAGAACGTCCGCTAGCAGCTGCATCGTCATCAACAGCTGTAGCTATAACCGTTGAAAGCATTCGCGGAATTCTTCTGGCTCAGCAGCCGCCATCGGCCCGGTCGCCGCCGGCGCTGCCACCGTTGCGGTCGTCATCCATTCGCATGTCCACCCGGGGAGCGTCCGGTGATTGGCCATCACCGCTTGCAGCAACGGTAAGAGCGATAGCCGCCGTAGACTTACCAAAGTCGGCAGCAGCGACGACTTTAGTGGCGAGCTGCGAACGGATGAAAAGCATGATGGTCAACTCGCAGCAGGCCCAAGTCGTACCACCGATGCTGCTGGACCGTCTCCGGTCCGGCCGTTCGTTAGAGCCCATTTTGTTGGCCGTTAGCATTGCAGTTAATCGTCAAACGTTGCTGGTAGTTGATCCTAACAATTGCTGGAACATGATTTGCTTACCACAGAGGCTGTTCATAATTATAGCATTGATATAAGTAGTATAAACGACTGATAATATATAAACCAGGCAAACTTGCAAACAAATAAGCGCTTAGAAAGTTAACGACATAAGACAGACGATGATACAAGCTGATTCAATGGCTTGGATTGCTAGTGGCTATTGCAAAGAGAGAACGGCCCGCCGACGCATTCCGACGGTGACGATTAGCCTGGTTAAGAGTTCTTACTTAATGCTGTTATACGCTATAAACAGGAAAATGATCAGAGCTAGAGAAGCTATTTTCCGGAAAAGTTTGAGATCTGCAATTCACTACTTCGTTTTCACTATTGAATGCTGTGACGTAAATAGCGTGGAAATGGAAAACTGCTGTAAGGAAATTATTGGTCGCTCAATAGATATATAGCAAATGTGTAGGGAAGCAGTGCATGCAGTGAGTCACAATGCTTGCTGTATGGGCGATAATAGGAAGTAAAGGGTCAGAGAGAAGGTACTTGAATATTTTAGCTAGAACCGAAGCAAGATATTACAGATCGAGTTTATCCGGTGTTGCACCCTCTTGAGATGCGACATCGAGTCGATTGTATCGACAGATGATGGGGACATAACGTTGTCTGGTAAACTTAATTGATGTCATATGTCAAGAGTTTGAAGAGTACATGACCCATTTTGTCGATTGACATGATTGGCGACAATCCAGAAGAATTTCACCAAAAATATTTCAGTATTACATCATTATCATCAGTGTATAGTCGATTCGATTTATTCTGTCTTAATTTTAATTTTCATTCTTTCTGTCTCGTATTCCTACTTTTGCCCTGCACCATTCTGTACAATGGAAACGAATCTCGTTAACTGCATAGTTGCGACTCCTGTGTTTTTATTCGGGGCACTTGCCTACGACACATGACGACGATGAGTAGGGGTCGACTAGCATAAGCCATTGTTACACAAAACCTCTAATATTTGTTTCTGAGTCTTAACGTCCACATGCAAGTCTGTAGCTCACGTTTTCGTTACGCTTTGCTTACACTTCTAGAGCCGGCATAGACTATTACATGTGATTCCGTCCTTTTCATCATCTCGCTATCGAATCCGGGTGGCGTAACAAGTACTCGCCGCCGCACTGCGATTCATTTTCCTCCCTTGACGCTGGTCGTAGCGTCAGCCAGGTTATGTCGCACGAGCTGCTTTAACAGTAGCACCGGCAGTAACAGTTCACTCTCTAAACCATCAGCCATTCATTTCAGTATAGATGAAAGGGTGCACACATGGACGTACCTCATCTTTTATTCTTACAGACATTTATTCTGTTTGCTAGTAAAAACCCTATTAAATCGCCTGTGTTATTACCTGTCTGAGCGAGTAACACAACCGGAAAACATTTGGCTAACTCTTACAAGGGACAACCTACGCGGGTCGAAAAGAGCGACGGGCGCTAAGCTATCTCAGCGTTGTCAAACAAATGTAGCTCCGCCTCAATATTTCATTTTGATAAACGTTCCTTCCTATGGCGTGCGTCTGTTTATAGGCGAATCTCCCGTAACTGTGGTTGCGTGTATTTGAGGATGCAACGACATATGTTCCTCTAATACACGACATTCACTTCGAGGGAAGACTTCCTCCGCTCCAATTTGTTTTCCCACATTGTAGCTTGGCGTTATTATTGCTATTTTTATCATTATAGTTATTCTTGTTCTTTTTATTATTGTTAATACGTTAAATAGTTCCTCACTGATGCGTCGTTGCACAAAGGCTCATAGAATGCTCGTAGCAGTGCAGTCGCAAAACGGCAGTAACCCGCCAGACAGCACACGTAAGGCAGAATGCATTATGGCCATCGTCAGCAGGGCTCGTCGGTACTTTCTCAAAAGCGGACTCCGCTTCTATTGCTGTTGTCGATGGTGTTGCACGCGTCGTCGCCGTCGCCATTGCCATCGCGATTGGGGCGGTCAGCGTCAAGCGCATGGTTCTGTGCCACAACGAGGGATGCTCGCTGTACGGCAACTAAGGGTATCTCAGTTTCCGCTGACTGCGACGATACGGTCGCTGTTGATGCTGCTTGGACTGGAACCGAGTGGTTCTCTCGTTCTTTATTTTTTCTTCCTCTATTTGACTCTGTGCTCGTTTCTTGTTCGCCTTGATATCCGACTGCCTGTACGACCGACCGCACGCCCGTCACTCCGTCCATCCGCCTGTCCGGCGTAGACTCGCCAAGGAATGCTGACTCAAGGAGACTTCTCCGATTAAATGGTAGTAGTAGTTCTTGATAGAGAGCGCATGGCCTCTATGGTGTTTCTAGCGTATGGTTCATTTGATCTCGATGGTACCGCCGTCTACCGCCCACGATTGCCAACAGACAACAGCTGCTAAGTCTACTACTGCTATTGTTGTTCCACTTTCGTGGCCGGCGTTACAGCCGCCATCGTTATCCTTTTTGCTAGAGTTACGTGTATTAAGCAACACAGCGCTGTATCCAAAAGGGTTTTTCTTTCTCTCTCTGCACCGTTTTTCATCTGTAAATATTCCCCTTCAGTGAATTAGATCAAGACCGCTAATGCCAAAGGACTTCGTTGTTGAGCTGAGGCCATACTTTCGGTCGCAACTTCGCTCAGTAACTGTAGCTATATTGAGTTTCACATTTCGACTTCCAGGTTTTTACTTAGTTATGTGTGCCGTGGGGTCGAGTCTGTGGCATGACGTCTTTAGCGGCCGTTCGGTATGCCCATTTTATATTTTGATGATGCAACTGGAAACCACCGCTGCTACCAACACTGTCTAGTACTACTGATTGATCCAGGCAAAACTGGATAACTGCTGCGTAAAGTCGCACCGTTGTTGTCTATGGTCCAGCTCGCTGAATTATGCACAAATAGTATCGATGCCGCTTCATCTAGTTTATCTCGTTTTTTTTTTTTTTTTTTATCTTTTTGTCCCTCTCTGTTGACTTGCTTGTTTAACTGTCCGCGCTCAAATATTTGACCTAACTGGTCCTAACCATAAATGACGAACGCTTTCGTGTCCACAAATGTGTATTATTAGTAGTATGAATATATCGTAATAATCTTTTTCGCTCCCTAGTAAATACAATACGCCAACTCTCTGCTAGACACCGCTTTTGGCCTTATGGAAGATGGAAAGCGGAAGGCAAAGAAACGGTTATGCTGCCACGTAACCACGCGCAGACACGGCTTGCTCTAAGAATTGGTCCATCGTAATTGGTTGGACACGAAGACCAGATTCAGGTATGCGATTTCAGGTGCGATATTTGTAAAGAGCTCTATGGTGAAGCTACTACGATTACAGATCCTGCGCCGCTTTTAAGCTGAGTATCAATTATGAATGAGGAGGCGACGACTGGCCGTAGCAGTTTTACAAATGAAATCAAAAGAATAAGATTACGCTGGCAAATATGCGTACGTGTGTGGCTGGGTTCGTCTAGGACTATGGGACTGTGCTGTTATCATGACATCAGCTTGTATGTACGAATATGTTATCAATTCATACAGATCTATCGAATATAAATCGGTGCCTGTACTGGTTGTTTATAACTCCGAAAATCGTTTTTTTATGCAATATTATTTGATATTATGAAGTATTCCGAAATAGTCTCTTATGATATTTTGACGTCCGCTATTAACTTAGTTGCTAGCTATTTTTGATCCGTATTTATTTCCATGTATACGTAATCTGCAATGCCTGTATAGCTCATATGAAGGGGATAATTGCGCACCTGCTAGTAGCCGCGTATTATAAGCAGGGTTTTTGGACACGTGGTTTTTGAAGGAAACTAGCCTACAACGCATATCCATATGATACTTATATCTTTTTAAAATTTAGCAGCTTCTTTGAAATGATTTGCACGCGTCAATAAATTATTATTATTAATGTAGTAGACGAGCTTTTGATCCACTTTTCATTGATTGTATGTATATATATAATCGATTGGTAACTTTGAATAGACAGTCCTGACGCCGGCAGCGGCATCACACGTTGACAGATACTTCCTCACAGGACAGACAAACATCTCAACGGTTCCAGTAGTGGTGGTCGGTGTGGATCAGCTAAACTCAGCTATACAGAAGCACCTAATGTTTTAACAGAAGACGTGTACTTGACAAGCTTTCAAACGATATTTGTCCTCTTCAATAGCATATCTTATAATGCATACCACGTAAAGGTACAAACTATGCCTCGGGGACGCCGTTTATATGGCGTAGTTGTCAAACAGAGAAAAAAAAAGCCCTTCCTACTATCTATCGGCTGAAAGCTGACGAGTGAATAATCTAGGTCTGGGCACTTGTACAGGAAATAATGTCTATTAAACATCGCCGTAAGACGGGTTTAGGTTATTCGACGGTCGTCATCGATAGAATGTTGCGTTCGTAGCAATAATCGTTGGCGATGTCATTAGATTAACTAGCTAGGATATGATTTAGCCTGAATTGTACATGCAATGAAAGTTTTATAAAATGCACGAATCTATTATTGAGTTTCTAGAATCTTCTACTATCCACCAACTGCGATAGTTTGTGGTGACCGCTAGGTTAGATTCGCTCCTGTCTACATAGTTGTGGCTAATAGTTATGTGTGGTAAAAACCATCAACTATTCGGGTATAGGCAGGCGGATCACATGGCCAAACTGTATAATGGCAAAACTCTGCCATGAAGAAAGCTGATACAGTTAAATGTTAGTTTGAATTAGTGTATTTTGAATTTGAAGTATTTTGAATTTTAGCCAACAACACTTTGAACTAAACTAGTATTTTGTGGTAACAACGAGAAAGGGCTACACAAGGTTCTTTTTTTTAATTGCGGTTGCTCGTCATCGCCTGCTCCTTTTTTAACACCTATACTTTTAATCAGCCACACGCAAATTAATTGATGTCTGTCTTTAAGATCGGCCCAGACAAATTGGAGATACTCGAAGTCAGTTCAAAGGTATCGAATGTGCTTCCAACATGCCTGTTCAAATGGTAAATCGGTAAAGCTTAAGCTCAATATTAACGTATACATCCATTCCAGCATATACGACTTTTGCGTATAAGTCAACCATCCAATTTGAATGTCCAGTGTTTTAGCATCGTTTGCATTGACTTGATTTGTGCCGTATCTTATTTCCACAGGATGAGTGTCCGTACGACCCCTTCAACGGCCGCTGCGTACCCCAGCTCAACGGCGGTTATTACCGTGCCATCGTTTTCTGCGTCGTATTCGTCAGGTGCGTCGGGCGCATCCGATCCTGAGCTGGACGGTCGTTTGTCGGCCTCACAAGAGAACCTCGCGGCTGCTGATGGCGTTGTTGGAAATGGAACCAACGCCAATGGAGGTAGTGGCGTCAATAGTCCAAATAGCCAGAATAACAGACTTGCACCACAAGGTATTCCACCTCACGGTGAACGTCAGGAACCGCAGGGTGAAGAGACTCTGATTGCAGATGAGCTCAATAACACTCTTGTCATAAGGAATAACGCGTCCATTGATGGCTATTCATCGCCATTCTACGGTAAAGCTCCCCCGTACCCTGGTCTTATGGGAGCACAAAGCACACCAATGATTAATAATCACAAAGCCAGTACCCAAGGAGTTGGAAGTCAAGCCGCTAGAGAAGTTCAGGAAATCACGGAAATACCGAAGCATTACCTCGACAACAGTCCTATGCTTAAACATCTAGGTGAGTAATGCTAGATTTTACAGTGAGTAATTATGATAGTTTGACAGTATGATTTAATTAGGCTATAATGGAAGACGGCTCTGTATCGAAAACGCCGGTTGAAATATCCCCAGTCAAATTCAGCAGCTGGGGCAAAGCAAAGATGGGAGAATGTAGCGTAAGATATTCTAGCGCGGCGCTCCTGTTGATGCAGTTTCGTCATAATTGCCACTGTGGCAGTTTTAATGTCAGTCTTCATTAGAATAGCAGGCAGTGTTGTAGCCCCTTTAGCTAACATCTGATACATTTGAATGAATATTGAGGTATATATTCGGTCTTATAACGCGTTCCTAAGTGTTTGGAATTGATCGAAGCATGTCGCATTAATATTTGTAATTGCGCAAGGTCAGAATAAACGTTTGTATAAATATTTCTTTTTTGAACATTTACAGTAAGGTTGTACAGCATTGATTTCGCAACTTTGACTATGTATATATATAATCTACTCAAATTAATACGTCATCGATTTTTGCGTGGCTTGTCTGTGTCTACTTAAACTATAGTTTGCTCAATATTGAGACTTGAAGTATAACGTAACATGCAAATTTTATTGTTTGCTGAAATTTTATGCTAGGTAATTATTTTGTAGTTGTCAAGCTAATCGGTAGTATTAATTATCGCATCCTATTAATACTGATGAAATTGCATGCAGTTTTTTCATCAATGGAAAAAAATTTAACTCGGTATCGTGCGAAATAGTAAAATGTCAGGCGGACTTCAAAGTTGAATAACGTTTAAAAGTAGTTGGGCTAGAATGATGATTTTTTAATGTATTAAAGGTATTTTTTACGTTTGTGGTAGCCTCTGTACAGTCATATACTCACCATTTGCGTTTCCATACGTAATGCCTCCATTTGACTGACGACGCGGGGGCAAATAAGGAGGAAGAAGTCGGCTGCGAAGGCCCGATACCACCCCGTGGGCACCGGCCACAGCAGGGCCTCTTCGTAGTACCCACGGAAGTCAGACAAACGGCCGACTGGCTAATCTCTTTTCGATACGCTACGATCTACGTCATTTACTGTGTTGTATTTTCACGTTGCTGTTCTTTCTCTGCCAGCCAGAGAAGTGCACGGAGAAACTTGAATGTGTGAATAGTAGTAAATCAGAATTTGAATATGTTTGCTTACCAGCTGCTTCTTTCAAGGAATGAGAAGCCCCGTAATCACTCGGATTTTGATAGAATAGGTGCGTTGAAATCAACGTTAGGCATTTTTTTGCTTAATTCAGGCATCAATTGAGGCATTGGGATCAGGTTTAATGGATTGGAACAAACAGACTGCATGTTTTCGCTCGCTGTGCTGTCCGTTGCTAGTAGTACCGTTCGAACTTACTTGGCACTGCTACCAAATTCGATATCTTTTTAGGTCGACGCTAAACTTGGGCCTGGTAGAGATTCAACCGCCCTTCCTCTATAGAGACTGTATGATTCAGGCGGGTTTTTCAATAATTCAAGTTCCACATATGGTGCGTTAAATGCATTACACGCGTTTTTAACTGACTTAAAATCAACTCACGGGGGACTTTTAAGAAAAAGAGACTGATTAAGAATCAGTCTCTCAATTTTCAGTTATATGTGAACGCTACATATGAAATGCAAGTTTTGGCTAACAGAGACTGTAGATTCCAAACTCTGATTCCGTAAACAGCATTTTCGATTACAGCAATGCGTTCTTGTACCTCGGATCAAGACATCTAGTCATCTTCTCGTTGGTTTTCAATACTCTAGTCTTGCTTCTTGAAACGTTTGTATCATTCGCGTATTAAGCTTTCGCTTAAAGCCTTTTTACGTGATATCTTTGCCAATCTTTGATGATTTGTCGGATCTCTATGGTCTTTAGGGAACAAAAAATTGACCACTAAGCATTCATTTTCGAGGCTAAAAAATGTTTTCCCTTCTGAACTATTTTTTTAATAAGCTCGGCGAGTCTTCACTCACAAGTTTTTAAAAGGCTAGAGTATTTTCCTGCCAAATTTTGTCTGCTAGCAGTGCGTGGCTCAAAAGTTATTCAGTTTTAAAGTCCGCCGGACTCGCTTCTAAGAGCCTAATACATTGATTCCAACCAGGACGCGTATAACTGATCGACCTTATTACACAGTTTCCCAAATGTATCATTTCTGCAAGATTAGTGTTAGCCACAAGACGAGTGACACAATTTTAGGTATTCCAATCCAAAGAGACTTCAGAGCTGGTTGTTATGAGGCACTTTAAGCGGAAGGTAGGCTAAGGCAAATAGAAAAAATAACTGCTTCGTTTACAAATCGGCAAGTGCAAAACCGCTAACAATTTTAAGGTTGTTCTAGCACATCGTTTCCTCATCGTTAACGAATTTCGAGACAGACATCGCACAGTCTTTAGCTTAGTACCATTTCTCTGTTATACTATGATATAAATCGTAAAAAGTGAGTTGTGCGGTAACTACTGAAGGAGTTTACTTTTATTTTACTAGAAATTCGATTTAATTCTCAGCGCAGACAAGTTGCAAGCCATGCCGACCTGCTACGACATTGTACGACTGACAAGGATGTGTTTGTGAAACGCTGTTTGAGTGTATGTTCGTGAACTATTAGCATTCAAAGGTCAATGGTTATTCCTCTAGACAAGACAGTGGAGAGGAACGTAAGGACGGGTAAGTCTCATGGTGAATTCTGGCTTTTTCATTTGATCGTCCTTTGGAACGCGTAAATGGTATGGCATTATTGTCACACCCAAGTTTATTCGAAGACTACATTCAAATCACTGTTGCTGACCTAAATAGAGAGACTCCACGAGGCTATTAACATTACTCAATTCAAATTGATGAATTGCTGAAATGAGTTAATGAACAAAGTGCAACTGTAGTAGTAACATTTGCACTAAAAAGGATTTAGTCAAAAAAAGTTAAAAATTGTGAAGTGCGACGTCACTCGTAGACGATGGACTGAACGAATTGATTCACATTTTTGAAGTAGACTATTTTTTTGAGGAGCGACTCTCGAAATTGTTTTTAGCTGTATTGGAGGTACTGTAACACGCTGTTGTCACGTGATGCGCCCGTTTACCAACACGTATACACAATATGCACGCGTTTTTTCCTCATGAAAAATACAATGATATTAAACGAAGTTTTTTTAAGACTTCGAATGAGTTCAAAAAAAAAAGCCGCTTGGTGGCGACACAGTTCGATATGGCAAAAACCCGTGACAGCTTTCTTGCCATATTTTATCGTTTTACCATATTTAATCGTCTACATTATGAGGTACTGTCATAAGTTCGTTGTAATATACTGCGGCAATATGATAGAGTTCATTATCACGCACGTTAGTTGAACCTATAGCGAGAATTGCAAACAAAAAAATTTGAATCGAAGCCTCAGTACACGGCTTTTGTTTGATATCATTTCGGGGTCCAAAAAATGGCAGTAAGTTGTTTTTATGCGTCGTAAGTGAGACTGAAGTATCTCATTCAGAGAAACTTGTTCATTAGCTAACTTCACATTGATTCATTTACCGTGTTTTTTTATTAATGGTAGTCATACTATTATTACGATGTTGAAGATAAAAATAGTTAGAATAATTGCCGGTACTTTTTTATTCATGCATTTTACGTGTTGGCATTTTGTATTACTTTGTTTTCAGCGAAAGAGATCCAAATTCAACCGACGTCTTCAAACGGTTCTCCAGCCGCAGCTGACTTACCAAGTCCTTCAGGCGTATCAATGACCCCACAGGCCATGCCAGTCGGGATCACTAACTTGCAGACTTTGCAAGGGATCCAGCCAATTCAGGCCAACCACCAGTTGTCCGTTTTGCAAATGTCCGTCGTCAATGGTAGTCTTCCAATGGCCCCTGCTGGTCAGGGTACGCTCGTGAACATGTCACAGCTCGGAGATATCACTGTCCCCCAGGACGATAACGGCAACAAAATTATATCGCTTCTTTCCCAGGAGAATCAGGCCCTCAAAGCCGAGCTTGATCTCTGCCATACGAAGGTAAATGAACGGAAATATGATTGATGCTACCTCTAATGATAGAATAATAGTGTAATTAACAATATATCCTATGACTAACTAGAATAGGTGTGTAAAGTTTATATATTAACAAATATATATGTAGGTATTTTTTGTTACTGCTAGGTAGATATTTTCAGAGTAGCCACAACTGTTCCTGCAAAGGTGTTGTTACTGTTAATGTAGATGTGCATGGTGTGAATTTTTTTTCATTGGGCTTTAAAACCAAAGGAAGAAGAAAGGGGACGAAAATGAGGGTAATTTTTTCTATCTGGTCGCTTGTTTTCCATGGTTCTACAAAATTTCCAACTGTATCGTATTTATACTATGAACTAAATTCAATATGCCGATGTATCGCCGAGTCGACATAAGTGCAAGTCATTCAACCGTTAGCATTCGAGTTCGTCTGAAATTAGCCATTATATACACAGTTCGTCAAGAGAGGCCTGCCAGTAGGAAATTTGGTGTGTTTGGTTCCTCGGACAGTTCTGGAAATTGTGACCTGGATTTTGCAGCGTTTTAGTACGAGAGATGATTTTGATAACACTTGCAACGATCGTAGGTTGTCTGCGGTGTGTTTTAGCCAGCCCCTCTCCTTGACTTCGAAAGAAAGGAAAGGAGATTCGATTTGGAAATGTCTGTGGGATATTGGGCTAGGAGATTTGAGAGCCGCTAACTATAACGGCGGACCGCTGGTCCTCAGAGAAATCTCCACCCCCCTCTCTTAGGTACATTCAGAAAAAAATATATGTCGACAAAAAATTCAGATATTGCGCATAATTGATAAACAATAATGAGAATAGTAATAACATGCATCTGTATTATCCTATGCTATTTCCCAGATCTCGCGCTTGGAAAGAATGGAGATCGAACTGCAGCACCTCCACGAAGCCCAAGAAGAAATCGTAGTGGCTAATGAAAAGCGCGAACGTCTTGAAACGGCATTACGCACGCGAATGGAACAGGAGATTCAGCGGTTACGTCGAGGTCTAGCTGCTAGTCCGGCCCATGCTGATGCCAACTTTGTCGAAATGCAGCAAGAGCTATCCCGCAGAGATCTACTTATTGCACAGCTGCTTGGACAAAGTGAGTTATCTTAGAAACGATCGACAGTAATACTATTGCGCTACATAGAATTTCCAGTGTCTAGCAGGTGGTCACAGGTAGAGCTCAGACTTATTGGACTACCCAATAATTACAGTAACTAATCACCAATTGTGACATTAGGCATGTTACTAATTTGCCTTTCTCAAGCAATCCAATACCTACCTGGGATAAGATCACATCGATAATACGATCCTGACCATGGGTTTCCAGCAGTATTGTGATTTGTTTGAGAGCTCAAAGGATCATCTGCATCGCAGCTGTGACATGTTCCGTTTACTTTACTATTCTATTAATAATTAATTCATCAGACGCTATAATAGCTTGGCGCATGAATAATTCCAATATTATTTGCTGTTTGACTAATTTTTGGTATACAAACTGTGGTATACAAATATCTATTTATAGTTTACGTAATCTACAAGTACGACTAAATAAGAAAGCATTAAAAATAAATAAAATAAAAGTATCTGTTGTTATCGAATTTATACCATCTACATAGGCAGAAATTTTGTATCCATTGAAAAGAGAACGGTTAAGACGAGAGTTCACGAGTTGCCGTTTGTTTTTCGCTGTATCTATCTACTGCAGATAAAGAACTATTGTGCGAAAAGGAACGTAAGGACGTGGAGATTGCCGCCCAAACAGCGACACTAGCAGAGCAACGGAAGCATATCGAGATTCTAGACCACGCATTGACGAACGCGCAAGCCAACATCGTCCGGCTTGAAGAGGAGGCCCGCAAGAAGGAGTTCTATGTAGAGCGGGTCCACGAACTTCAGCGAGCTCTTCAACAGATGCAGGCAGCCAGCGAAAGACGACTCGAAATGGAAAAACGCATGCGAACTGAGCTTGAGAAAGATGTTCAGAGCCTTGGAAGAAATTTAGCAAACTCAGGAGGTGACGTTGAAGACCTTCGCAAGACAATTAGGTACGAACGCATCTACTGCTAGTACGATCATATGAGACTATGTTATAGACGCTTGATTTAGGGTTACGGGTGCTCCTATAAGACTTACGTAAAAGGGCGGAATATTTTTTCTATCATTATAGGCTAGGCAATTCATTCAGACGCAGATTGAATGTAGCCTATATCTTGCTAATGACGTTAGCAGTCAAGCAGACGATCATAGATGCAAGCGTCATTCTCTTACGTTAATGGATAAGGGCATAAACAGATTTATGTGAATGAAATCTTGGAAATGTCATTACCAAATATATACTGCTCCAGGCATACCGTTCCTTCATCAGATTGTTTTACGTTTCCGTAAAAAAAGACGCATGCTAGTAGTCCACTTCAGTAGAGTTGCTTTGATTTTAAACACGCCTTGCGCTCGATCATGACGTATGCTGTGGCTACTAACAATGACGGGAAGACGCTGATGTTTTTCAAATTTTTCTTTTTGAAGGGATTATGAAGAAAAGGTCGTCTCTTTGGAAGGAGAGGTGGCGCGTTGGGAACAGAAATACTTGGAGGAAAGCGCACTTCGTCAGATGGCCGTGGACGCTGCATCAGTACCCAAGGACGCTCGCATTGCAGCTCTTGAGCGAAATTCGGTCGAGACGGAACGACTCATTTCACAAGTGCGAAGTGAGAAACTTCGCCAAATGGATGAACTACATGCGGCACACCGTAGGGGCGCCGAGCTCGAGAGCCGTCTGAAGGACATGGAGAGCAAACTGGCTGAGCGTGACGCCATGATTCGGGTGCTCCAACAACGAAGCTCGATTCATGCGCGAGCCGCTAGTTCTGTAGCGCTTACTCACCACCACAGAAGGTCAGTATTATTGTATTGATCCGTTTTGAATGGCTCTTCTATTCAACACATGTTTGATATGCGTAGTCCAAAGCAGATAGTGAAGAGTGTTCTTTCATTTAGTCATATTTATAATTGTCGGACAGTCATTCAGGCGCCGGCGATACTCTTCCTTCAGAGGAAGGTCTGATCCTCATGACATTCTGTCCTTGCTTCCTTGAATACCAATAACAGCGGGAGAAAATTGAATGCTTTTTGATTCAGTGCCACTCCTCTGAAGCAATTATTTATGATAATAAGTAATAGTAAAATTATGTACTTTTCGGTGTAGCACTCATGCTTCGGCTGGATATACGTAGAATGCAAAAAAAATGAAAAATCTACTCCAATTTATCGTAGTGCAAGTATATGAAGTATTCTGTATGATGCAGCATAAATAATAATATTTCGTTACTTGGGGCGATATTTCAGGACGGGTAGCAAGGATGAGACGATACCTGATCGTGCGGCCATGGATGAATCTCTTAAGGAGTTTGGATCTCGTTTGGCAAATAAGGTATACCAATCTTGTGTAGCTGCTACGTTGGTCATAGACATGGCTTACGCAGAGATAGTACTTTTTTGCGAGAAAGGATCGGAGTAAATGGTGGAAGGGGATTCATTTAATCGAAAGGTGTACATGTTGATTGAACGAAAGCCATTTTTATGGCTTTAGAAGGTTGGCAACATGCGTTCTCAACCTGATTAGTTAGTCAGAAGGAGAAATAGGCCATTAATCAAGTTAAGCAGGATTTTAACCGGAAATGAAAAATAGGGCCCACCTTAAAAGCACCTATTCTTTGACCTGTGCAAATATGTTACTTTAGATCGAAACAGCAGAAATCCGTAGTGTGTAGCTTCATCAAAAACGCTTGTTTCTTACTCTATAATGCTATTACCGTTTTTAATCCATGACGCACTATACATCGTTACATGTGGGATGAGTACGAGACTGGTTGGATTCATGGGTATATATTTATTTATATATAAATATACCTAAATAAAAAAAAAAAAAAATATATATATATATATATATATATATATATATATATATATATATACGGTACTAATCTTGGCGAGATTGATCTGATCACATTTGGTAATGCCTATGCCCGGAATACCTCGTTTTTATGTTTATAGAGATTTGATAAACAATCTTTCGGTAGTGACATTGTGCTCGCTAACGAACAAGGTAGCCGAGTAGTGTGTATGTGTTCAGTATTGGGTATCAGACTGATTGCAGTTCGCAGTCACAAAGCACAATGAAGTGGCAAGCCCGGGCGCTGAAAAGCTGAGGTTTCCCCTCGCTTGCCCAGTAGATACAGCATATCAAGGCTACGTGGCCTACTGTAAATAAAATTATATAAACATAGAAAAATTGTAGTAATGATATACCGAAGATTCGTATTTACGGCGCGGTGCATTGTTTAGATATTATTAATGTGGTAACAATGTATTTCTGGCTCTCGTGACAAATACATCATATAAAAAGTACTATTACAGTATCAACATTCGCATTTCAGTTCTTCTTCTGATCCTGTAGAACCGTCTGCAAATAGAGAGCGCGGGAGGGATCCAATTTACCCACCTCCATCTTTAGCGGCGTTTAGCACAACAAACGATAGTTTAAAGCTTCTACCGTTCAAAATTCACCCGAATCCTAACGCTTTGCGTTATTTGAGGTATCTCCGTGTGCAAACATCTGAACCTGTTTGTCTATGTTTTGTGTGCTCACCGAATAATCAGTCCAGTTGATTGATTTGATCCGTTTTATCGTGTAATTAGCTGTGCCTTTAGCTTTCATGGGTATATGATAGGGTGTAGCATTAGCGTTAGCTTAGTATTCCTGTGATAATGAGAAAAGTAAACGTCTCCGATCGTGCATGATTAGAACTAAAATTAAAAATCGAAATTCGTTTATTTTTGACATTGGTTTGATATTGAGCCACTTGTGAAGGCCGTGACACGAAATCTGGCGGTCACCTATTGATACTTCTTTTCGGTCGAATTTGACGCACGTCCAATAATGATAATGGACGGCCTCTTGCTTATATCTGTTTTGGCTGTAGTACGGTTTGCCTGTCTGTGCACGCTTTTTCCACCGGCTACAATCGACTAATAATAACCTGCATCCAAGTTTGTTATTGTTCAGATGCACAAAGTTATTCATTAAACTAACCAGTGTCTCAATATTATTTTATGGTATTTCTTGTTTCTACCAGTATAAGAGTGTGCGATGAGCAAACGCATTTCTCCGTTTACTAAGTAAATAAGCGAACGGTTGCGTATTTGCTATGTGTGCACGTACGTTACTTCAAGCTGTCGTTTAATATAGGCGAATGATTATTTCGTTGGTAAGGATGGGGCATATTAAAAGAGATCTAGAGACCGCCTAAAAAAATTGCCGCGAGAGATCTACAAGCTAAGGCTAAGGGCGCTGTAGTTTTCAGTGGGTGACAAGGCCGCTTCATACGTGTCGAGTACAATATGGATGTCTATTTGTCTGGGCAGGTGCGTAACACCTCCTTGGTGAAACCGTGTATTCACCGAACGAAATCAAATAACTTGGCAACAGCTTTCATTTGGCTCTTATGTAGTTCTAGGAAGGGTACCTGAAACACGATTAACTACTCTTGCAACCGGGTTCCCTTAAGTCTTCGCTCATCTCCGTAATCAAAATCCATGACTAATCCTCTTATTTGGTCGACTTGGCGTCTACGAACTCGCTGGTCTTTTTTCCATCAGCGTTCATGTGACGTACCTGCCAGCAAGAAAACAGCAGTTATCAATCGGTATTTTAACGCTGTTCTCGTGTGTCTCTGCGTTTAAACAAGAAGCAGATAGAATTACTGCAACGACTCCCCAACTGTAAATATTGCTGAAAACTAAATTAAACGTGAAGAGGAACTAACTTTAGAATGAAATTAGAATAAAGGGTGACCTTCGAGATACCAGTGTCGTCACTATCCGGTTAATTCATTGTGATTGGGTAATAGCACACAGCATATCGAGATTAAGTTTATTTGCTTGAACAAAAAATCAGCGAGACGGCTTTTGTCATATACTCCAATAAAAAAAATTCTCAATGTTTAACATCAAAAGCTTGACGAGACATTGCGTGTGACTAAAACGCCTTGCTAGTTGGTAATCTGCTATGACAGTCATCCAGGAGCGTGGCGGAAACCACACATACTGTCTGTTGTTGTTTTCTCGATGTTTGGATGACTCCAGTCGTATAGGGAATGTTCCTTTACTATGTCGGTCAGGGGCTAGGATACTCTCTGCGTTACCTCGCAACTAACAGGTCACAATTGGTCTCGGGTGCAGTTTCTTGTCGCGGCAGTCAAAGGCAATATTCAGCGTGGATATTCTACCGTTCCGATGTTTTGTGCGTTCATTACTAGTAGTCAGCATTGATTAGTTGCATCGTAGTCAGATATAGTTATCATAAAAACAAATTTAACCATGATTATCAATGTTTATGTTCGCGTACTTTCTAGGCAAGTCTTCTGGGCAATATGCAGTGCGGTTCGGCAGTCGCAGGAAGTTCATCGACACAATCGTCGCTTCAGCTTGCTTCATCCAACTCAAAATCGACCTCGAATCTCATCTCGCCGATTGAAGTGCCCGCCAGCAAGCTAAGCATCTCTGCAGCTTCACTCGAACAGAATGGCATTGATGGAAATCAGGGTGACGGAGACGGTGGTACAGTGAAGGTGTGGTGCGTCTGAGTCAAGAAGCACTTAATCAAGTGCCACCGAATAAGAAAACGTGGTTCGAATTCGTACGACTTTCAGCCATCAGGTAGCCGCCACGTTTCTTAAATACTTATTATTCTAGCAACGAGCATTAAGATATCATGGCTGTACGGGTATTGAACCGCTCTGGGGTATCACTGCGCATTAAGGAAGCATTCAAGGCCTCATTGCTTCAAGGGATCGTAAATCAGAACTGAGGAGGTGCAACATTTGGGTTATATATAGGTCAGAGTTTTTAAGATTCCGCGAACGTGGCCAAAGTAGTAGAATTGTATGTGCCATACGTAAGCTGCTAAGCAGGACTACGGTCTTCGGGTGTCAACAACATACCGTCTATGGCGTTCGAGTTGTCAGATTTCATAGTTTTACTTAGCCGGGAAAAGGTACTGTAAAAAAACCTTCAGGGTTTGTTGTCAGTCGCTGTGCGATAGGGCTTTGCCGTGAATAACGATGTCGATTGGAATTTCATATCTGATATTTAGTGGTGGTCGCTCCGTCTAATTCTTCCCATGATAACAGAATGAAGATGCCTTAGTGAGATTATCAATAGCTAGTTGAATTACGGCCTGTTTCTGCGCATGGGTATTTCGGTGTCATAAAAATATCACGTTTACATACCCATTCACTGCACTGAAGTGCCAAACACCTTTTATGTAATGATCAATTGCTGTAACTTCCTAATCAGTCGCGTGTATTTCCCTAACCAACTATCGGGAAGATGTGACGCCGACAATTTTCACTGTTGATGCAATTGATCTGCTAACTGACAGTAAAACTTAGCCACAAAGATCAACACAACAGTAGATCCCGCGACTTGAAGGGTCATTTTCTACACCAGGATGCACTGCTCTCGCACATTCATGTGCGAGTATGCAAGTACGCATCCGTATTTCCTAGAAAATGTAGCCTATCACCGAATAGTAGAAACGATGTCAAAAAGTTGTTGAGGGTGGATATCAGCCGCTCAGAATAGACCTCGCTTGCCTTTATAAGCGTCCCCAGCCACCGCTTATTTCAACCCTTTGTCTCCTATAGCATTTCCCGATGAATCATCAACATTGCCTTATTGTTCCTATCCGCGTTGATAATGGCAGGAGTGGTTTGTAGCAGGGGTATGTGCCAGATTCTACACGAAAAATTAAGGCCGTTCAAAAGGCTTGTATATTGGGTGATAGATGACTTGTTGTGATCCACCTCGTTACAAGGCTAAAACGAGAGTTGCACAGTGAGAGCGACAATCTTCCTGCTGAGATTTTGTACGGGACACCGTGCGCCAAGATCGGACTGCGCTCGATGTAGACCCGGATTTGTATTTGTTGGCAGTGTGTCATTCAATGATAACGTGTTTTTTAGCGGTCACGGTTGCCTATTTAAGCATGCGTTATGTAACTAATTAGGTATAGTCTTTTATTGATATATAATTTTATCATGAAAAATTTATCACACAAATTTGGAAGTTCTTATTAAGAAGTTATTTATATTGTTTTTCGTCTAAGTGATGACAAACTATAGAGGACATACTTTTGGCTGAACGGAAAGTAGGCCCTACGGAAGTTTTACACTAACGGCTTTGACACTTGTGCGCGATGATCAAAGTAGCTTTTACGTTAAGCACACAACAAGTTAGTTGTATATGTAATATTAGTAGTAACGATGTCAGCTCTAATGGACAACGACATTTATCCAAATAGGTGTGGTGCGAAATCCAGCCGAAAACACTTTGTGTTAGCTTCAGACATTGAGCCTAAGGTAATTAGCTTTCTATTATACAACAGGTCGTTGCTTCTTGTACAGATCTTTGCATAGAATGGAGATAAATAAATGAGAGATTTGTATTTATTGACTCTTATTCATCGCCGGGTGGCCCCTTTCGACCAACGACGAAGAAAAGATTGTGCTACAGTATAGTACCGAATGTATACATAACAAAACACGGATTGTGTCAAAAAAATGTAACAACAGTAATGAACACTTTATATAGCTGCGGTCGAAATATATAGATATGATTGCGTTTATAATTTGGTGATGCTGAAGACACGAATTATGACAAGAAATCGAGTTGCTGATTTAGGGGATGCTGGCATCCCTTAGGTTAAATGAAGTAAAGACTTGAAAAACAAAATGAAAATGATGTGTTTTACTTTTAAATAGGAGATGATAACACTTTAAAAAAGAAACGTGATCACACTTCGAACGTTTTCGATATGCATGTAGGTAAACAATATTGGGCTTACTGATATATATATTATACATTATATTATATATATTATACAGCTTCACAAATTTCCGATTTTTTTACACAAAAATTAGCACCTCTGGCTTATTCTGTAAGCCAGATATTTAGGTAAGATTCTATCTCAGTCTGTGGGGACCAAACGAAAGTGCTATTCACTGACACCTTTTTCAAAAATAGATAAATCGTCGTTAACATATTTTAGGCCAAATTTGTCGCCAAATCGATTAGTAGTCTATTGATCGTAAGCACTCATTGGATGAAAAAGAGAGAGGCGTTTGTCTGGCCGATTTACTTACAGGATACATACTCGACCTGACGAAGGGGAAGTAAGCGTGCCGAACGGCATAGGGAGGATGGAGGTATTCTTGCGAGTGAGCCTTGTCGATCAGCATGAGTACTCCGGGTACTTCGACGTCCAAGATTAGACGCTTGTTCGCGTTGAATGTGGGATACCACTGGAGAAACGACGTCGTATCGCCACTTCGATGATTCAGCATTTGGCACCATACAAGAAAGTACTGGTTGATTTAGCAGACTAGTTTCTCAAAGAATGCACGTCAAAATGGTGTCAAATATTGAAAATGCTAGTAGCCAGATGACTCATTCTTGAGAAAATAGCGCAGAGCTTTACGCTGCACATGTTTATGTAGGTCAAACTTAACAAAAATTGAGTATCTCTCATTCGTTAGGATATATATGTATATTTGAATATAGTATATACTTTGAAGACTTCCAGCTCGCCTTGTGTTTACTAGCACGTTGTCGGGTCATAAACATGAGGACTGTGGATATTACAAGCGGCTTTATGGAGTAGCCTTTGAATTATTCGTATTAGAATTTTGGATTTTTAATATTTTCTTCAAATTTTTGTCCATACAGATCTTCTACATGCGCCTTAAGAGAGTTATATATGCACCAGTCGCGTTCTTATATGTAATTTACCTGTTTATGGCTTCTCGAAGTAAATCTATAGCGGGATATGCTTGCCCACCAGTTGCCTTCTTTAAGGTATGGAAAGCCTCGTATTCACGTGGACCTGAATCAACAGGATAAACAGATTGAAACCAATGTTGAATACATTTTTGCTTAATCCAGGAGGTACTGAAGGCTTGAGGATTAGGTCTAGTGTTACCGACAAGTAACCAGACCACGTGCTTTCGATTGCCATGCCAGCGGTGCATAAGTCTCTTAAAGAGCTCGAGATAGCAAACTACTCCATTCATTGTTTCACTTGTGACGAGTAGCTCAATAGCAGATCCAATTCAAATATTACTATCACGTTACATATGCACGCATTCGAGACTGTCATCGAACAAGATTTCTTTTCAGTACGATTTTTTTTTCTTTCTTTTTTTTCTCGCCTGGTCGCTCTCAGGCCAGAGACTCGAATAGCATAAGAACAAAGATACTAGTTTTTATTATGGAGGTATAGGTTGATGCACTTAGATACGACTGGGACATTTAGATTTCTCTTCGTTTATAGCCTATTTGATCGGCCCGTAGCCGACAGTGTAGAGCACTATATTACTTACTAAAAAAAGTACCTTCTTTGTTACTCCTTTTAGGCCTGTAACCACTTAAAACGTTACCTAAGATGCTTTTTTTTGGTGTGGGGGAGGGGAGTGCAGTTGCTTTATTTTATTTACTTTTCTGTCATGCGTTATACTTCAAAACGTTCCTCTTTAAGCCTTTTCCTCCTTGCATTTTAAAATTATCCTTTTTTTTTGTAAATAATGGTCCTAAAAAAGGTCACTCCGCTACTGCGCTTCTTTATAGATCAAAGCATATGACCAATCCCGTCCCTAAATATGGTTCTAAGTATACCTCAAGGCATTTCTCTGCGCTCCGATGGGAAAGCTTTATAGTCAACTGTAGTACGATATGCCCAGCGCATAATACACATATGTCCTTATACGTTTTCCCTGTTTTTACTATGTAGGACTGGTGCTGACCATGTTGATTCAATGCGTGGTAGGTTAGATGAGGTTGTTATTTTTATTGCCATGCCCCATTCGCAAATCCGATTCGGTAAGGGACTTCGTCCGCTTTTTCAGTCTATCTGTCATTTCTAGTTGTGACTATTGCTTTCGCGATTTCCAGGTCGTTATTTGTCTGGCTGTCAAGGGGTTTATATCCTCCTACAAATATCATTCCGTTTTTTCTGGAAGATTCCAGGATAAGATATTGGCAAGCACGAAAATATGTTTTAGTGTAGGCAATCCTATATAATTTAGCTACCCTGATTGGTCTTGCTATTTGTGCCGTTAGCGGGGTCTTCCTATTCCTCTATTTATCTAGAGCAGTATTCGCCCTGATCGGGGCCTGATACAGTGCTAAGGATTCTGCCACCAAGGCTAGAAAGCTTTTTCCAAAAGGTTTGTCATTCAAAACATAGGTCGTGTTAAACTTTCCTCCTCCTTTTCGAGTGTTTTTCCTGCAGAGTATTGGACATCTGCTCTTCCTATCAGACTTGTATCCAAAGCGACCCATAAATACTTCACCTGTCAGCTGATCTGCGTGCTATTTTCCTTGTCGGTACTTGAAAAAAATCTTCTATGCAATTCACCGTAACGGCTCCGTATACGACATATTAAACGCCTCGATATAAGCGAGTTTTTACAGGGCCGGTCCAACTCCTGTAAGGCTCCCGTTGTGATCTTATTTCTCAGAAAATCTTTCTATGAATGAAAATATCATTCTTCTAAGCATTGGCTTTTTGAATGCGTTTTTAGCCATGGTTTATATGATTATGCTGCATTTCGTACTGTTTAACGCATTCGTAATATCTAGTAGTATCAGGATAACGTAGCTTTGGATCTTGAGCGTGCTGTCCTTCTCCTTCTGCGTTCTTGTACTCTCTCAATGGCTATGAGAGTTGACTTACGCCTACGCCAGCCATAGTATGAGTTACACGAAGTAGCCTCTATTTCCTATTCGAACTTCCTTCTCAAAATGTACTCTATTATTTTGGCAGCCGTACCAAATGAGTAATTGGGCCTATATGCCAGTGTGCCCGTTTTTCCCTGTGTTAGAATCAAGACAACGACCGTGTTCTTTTATTTTTCGGGAATCGTTTCGCCCGAATAAATTAGCAAATAGGAACCCTAAATTGTTCCGGCCTTCTAGTAGTAGCTTTACAGCCCCCCAATAAGATCTAATCGGATTTCAGGGTGTTAATTGCTGATAGCAGTTTTCTGGTTTTTTTTAAACTGCCTCAGGTAATACGTGTTAGACTTTTGCTATGTGCATTGTTCCTCTGTCTGCCTGTCTAGGAAAAAGACTGTCTAATCTCTTCTTTATATCCCCTGAGAGGTTCGGAGCATTTCTGTGATTCTATTCATGACGATCTGATAGGGAAGGCTAAACTTATTTTTTTCATCGCATCTATTAGTTCGTCCCGTTTTTACTTTTTACATCCTTTTCTTCATAGCTTCGTCTTATTTGCTAGGCCCTCATCCTCCTAAAACCAATTTCAGCCGTATGCATATAAGACATGCCGCGGCGATATTTTCCTTGCACCAGTATACTGGTCTCTTCGCGCTAAGATGATGACTATCGTCTGAGGAGGATTTCTTATAGGCCTGTGTCAGTACGCATCTAAGTATATTAATGTAAAACCGCTTTGTGGCCTCCTACAATCAGTGTCTTGAATCAGGACTTCAGGATGGTCCATTTTCGACGTTTACGTCGTCACCACCATCGCGAATTATGTGGCTTTCTTGAAGCATTTCCGCGCATCTTAAAAAAATCTACTTTTGCTAAATTCTTCTGCCACTCGCCAATTCGATATTTCTTTTCTGTTCTTCTATGAACGCTTCCTGACTGAAAAGTTTCATATTTATGACATACTCCTTCTATCCGGTCTCTTTTCGCCATTTGGTATCATAAGATGGTGTTCTTTATAGACGAGCACCGGCTGCCTCTTTGGGTTGGTGCCACATCAAAACAGCCAATTGATAAAATCCCCTGTGCTCAACATAGGTTTGCACATTGCTTTCAGGATCCAAAAACAACTATGCAGATTTCTTGTCAGGTCTGTTAGATGAAAAGTGGAGTGGAAATTATTGCTTCTGAATTGATGTCTGTCCACGAGTGCTCCTGTCTTTTCTTCGGCCTGTTACTCCCGCCTGTCTGCCATATTGTCGTGTATGTTCTATAATCTAGCAAGCACCAGGAAGAGCATTTTGCCATAGCGTTGTTTGGCTTATTACAAAAATCTTGCTCTAGCTTGTGCCTATCTGCTGTCCCCCTAACGTATCACAAGTGTCTTTATAGCTATTAAGATTCACTTGAGACGTCTTATGTTTCTATTCCTGTTTTTTTTTATTTGCAGCACGGATTGATTCTGATGTGACGAAGCCAGTGATCGTCTACCGTTTCTTGTTTTGCTCGATGCCTTGCTTTTTTGCCGTCATTTAAAATGTGTCCGACCTTCTGGCGGTTAAAGCACGTTAGGAACTGGATCCATTCTGCTGGACAGTGGTAGATATTGATTTTCTTTAGAGTAAGCAGTAGGAGAATTGTTATACTCAAACATACAGCATTAGTGATACTAGGAACCTCTGACTTTATTGTTATTTCTGTGGATATATTGAATGGTGATGTGAGTCTGGCTTGGGTTTATCCGGCATCTAAGAGGGGATCAATCTCCTTAAGCAGTATAAACGTACTCGGCATCATGTGCCTCAGTGAGTACGCTTGCCCCCCGTTTCGACTTTCTATATATATATATATATATATCCCTCCCCTGTTTTGCTAGATATACCTCCCTGTTTTGCTTCATTAATTCTAATTAGAGTAGCTCCTTCGCGCTACTTGCTAATTTTATTAATTTTTATCTGCCTTTTCTGGTTTTCCATAGTCTCTTACCTCCTAATGGGCTTCTTCCACTG